TTTTAATATTTTAAAAACAAGAAATATATTTGATATTTTTATTTATTACAATTTTCTCATTATAATAAATACCCAGTAAAAAAAAACTAATTCAAATGAATTGAAACGAATTAACATTTTTGGTAGGCTCCAATTCGTATTTGTCACAAAGCGGGATTCACTCAAGCTCTTTGTATATTCAATTGAATTTAATTCAATATGTACCAATTTGTCCAAACGAATTCGCATTCGAAAGAAATGGCCAAGGAATGCATTGAATTCGTGCTAACGAATTGAAAAAAATTAAAGGCTCAAAACTTGTCCAGTGAATTGGTACGGATAGAAGGTTCGGAAGTTCAATACAGTTTCACGAATTCAGGAAAATTGCATCATGGCTCCAATTCGTATTTGTCACAAAGCGGGATTCACGAAAGCTCTTTGTGAATTCTTTTTAATTCATTTCAATTAGTTTTCGTTTACTGGGTAGAGTATAAAGTGTGACATAACAAAATAAAAGGTCCTCACCCCCCTTTGTCACAATTTGTCACATTTTCATAGACCCCCTCCCCCTAAAAAGCACGGAGAAAAGAAAGTAGTCAATCTTACTCAGCCCTGAGTCATAGTTACTAAACAATATGGTGACTTTTTCGTTCAACAAAACAAAAAGTAAACTTCACTAAACGGCCGTTTAGTTATTAAGACTACTAAGGGTGGAGTCCCATGACAGCGTTAGAAATTAGAAATAATTATTATTAATTAATTATTTTTCCAAAAATTTATTATATATAGGGAACGAAAAGAAAATCAAGTAATATTTTACAAAAATACACTGACGGTGATATAAGGTAACAATAATAAATCAATTTAAAAATTATAATTTCTGTAATTGTTTAGTTAAATAGAGAAAATTATAAGAGCTATATTTCTTTACAAAATATATTTGTCGCATATATGAATAAACAGCTAAACTTTTTTTTATAATTATTATGATAACAATAACCTAATATTTGTTGTAATAACAAGCCTAAATAATAAGTATAACACTGCAAATAAAGTTTTGAAAAATAATATTTTTTCTTGATTTCGTTTAATTTTTAATAGGTAGCTTTTTAATTAATTTTAATATTTTTTTTAAAGTTCAATTAATAATATGATTAAAAATGTAAACAGAATTAGTTTTGTCTGCTTTACTAAGCAGACATTCATCCTTACTACTATGTTTAGTTTGATCGACAAAAAAAAATTGAACGCTGTTTTGTAACCTTTACTTAATATTTATTTGTCACAACTCAAATTTTCTTACTAAATGCGTAATAGTACAACTCACTATAACTCTTCTCTCCGTAAGTGTGACGTAATTTATGGACGAAGCCTATGTCTGTTTCTGATCGATTCAATAATATGAAATCACTTAAGCTTTGTATTAATTGTTTTGCTTCTAATCATAGAGCACAGGAATGTTCGAGTTCGCACACATGTCGTAAATGTAATCAAAAACATCACACAATGCTTCATCGTGAAAATTCAAATACAAACTCAATGCAGCCTAAATTGGAAGGAGGTGAAAGAACAGCGTCAAACCAAGGTCAAAAATTTATGTTTGACGTGAAAATTGAATTTAGTTTGCGTTTGACCAATGATAATCCAATATACTTCTCACAGCGGAGATTATCCTTTGAGAAGGAGGAACCTATTGGACAAATTGTAAGGAAAAAAATATTTTACCTTATATATAAATTTAAATACATGAGAGTTCCTTACGATTTAAAGACAGTCCCTTTTGCGTTCCAGAGGTTTATAAACAAAATATTCGAGGAATTAATTAAAGAGGGAAAAATTATATAATTATTTATATGATATTTTAATCTTTTTGGAAACCCTCGAAGAACATTTTAGAAATTTCAAAACGCGTATTCGATTTGATGGTTAGAAATAAGTTGGAATTACGACCCGCCAAATGTAAATTTTTACAGACGAAAATTGAATATCTAGGATATAATGTTTCTGCAGAAAGTATCAGTCCAACAAACCGCGGAATAGGATAGTCCAGACGAGCTCCAATCATTCGAAACGTTAAAAGAAGAATTAATAAGCTTTCTGGTTTTGAGTTTTTATAGCCCACACGACGAGACAGAACTTCACTGCGACGCAAGTAAACTTGGATATGGCGCGGTGTTGTTGCAGCGAAAATAGGACGGGTTATTTCATCCAGTGTTATACTTTTCAAAGAGAATTTCAGGAAGCGTAAGCAAGTATCACAGCTTTGAATTGGAAGTTTATCAATAATTTTCGCACTGAGGCGTTTTAGTATTTACCTTCGGGGGATAAAATTCAAGATTATCACTGACTGCAACGCGCTAAAATTGACTTTAGACAAGAAAGACATAGATATGCGTATTTCTCGCTGGGCCTTTAAAATGGAAAATTTTTATAAGACTTTTGAGCATAGAGCGGGAAAAAAATGAAGCACGCTGACGCGTTTAGTCGCTTTGTTAATGTAATGGTGGTGGAAGATAATTCTTTCGAATCTAATTTAGCAGTCAGTCAGAATCTTGTTTCGAAAATCGTAGAGTTGCGTAATAATGTTGAGAAAACGAAAAATAAGTTTTACGAAATGCGGAATGGATTGATGTACCGAAAGCGTGATAATAATATTTTGTTTTATGTATCCGAAAAAATGGAGAACTATATTCTACCAAATTCCCCGATGACAGGTAATTTTGGCCCTGAAAAAACTGTTGACTCGATTTTACAAAATTATTGGTTCCCATCAATGCGTGAAGAAGCAAAATTGTACATAGCGAATTGTCTGAAGTGTATAGCATTCTCAATCCGATGCTGGCAAAGTTTTCTAAACCCATCATCGGTAAATTTTGGTATAAAATATTGTCGAATGCTGAGTTCGCTCTCAATAATACCGTACACAGTACGACGGGAATAAGCCCTAGTAATTTATTATTTGGAATTGAACAAAAGGGCAAACAAATGAATTTAGTTGGGGAATTGTTGGGACGAGCTGAACATAATCAAAACGTCCGCGAGCTTGAGAAAATGAGATCTGATGCGAGTGAAAAAATTAGTAAAGCTCAAAGCTACAATATCAAACGGGTGACTATGTCATGATAAAAAATTTACCAAAGTAGACGTTTGTAGGTTGGTAAATGTGAATATAGTTAATATACTGTTTAGTTCTATCCACTTTTACTGGACATTTACACACTTACCAAGTCGGTTTGGTAAAAGTTAGAAATCAATTGAAAGTCAAAAGTAAGGAAGGTAGTCTGAATGTTGCAAAAAAATGAAAATATAAAGCAAACTGAAATAATAACTGAGGTTGACAATACAGTAGAGACCCCATTATCCGGACCCATATTATCCAGATTTTCGATTATTCAGACTTTCAAATATTTTTTTTGTTTATAATTTTAAAGATTATAAGCATTTAATACCATCAATTTTGAATTTTTACACGAAACGCTGCGTTCAGATGTTGACACAGATCCGTAATGAAAATCAAAGATTATTATAATAAGTAATAATAATAAATGATCATTAAAATCAGACTTTTACCTAAAAGGTTAGAGAAAAAATTAGCAGTTTCATCAAGCTTACCTTGTTTTGACCATTACACTGTAAATAATTTTTCGCAACAAAAAGATTTTTAAATAAAAAAACTTTATTCTTCTGCAACAATGTCAAAATATAAATCTTCGTTTATAAATTAAATATCTAAAGTTATATATGCGATGAATAACCATAAATGAAACTCATAGATTAAAATCGTAGCCCCATAAGTTACAGTGTACAACTTCATCATTATATTTAAAGCTAAGTCTTACTGTTTAAAAAAACAATTTTAAATATTCAGTAGAAATTACGCTACTAATGTTAATATAAATTACAAAATAAAATCCTCTTCTTGAATTAGCTATCAATTTCATTTATTTCTATTCGAGAAATGAAAACGGAATTTCTTATTCATATATTTTTTGAATTTAATAAATAAATATATATAATTCATGTGAAACCCTAACCATTTCTTTACATAAAATTATACATAGTTCTTAAAACATATTTTTTCTATAAATTCGTTTTTTATTAATTTACTCAATGCAATATCGCTTTAAAAATAAAGCTACTTTATCGAATGTACTTGCAAATTGTTATAATGATAAATAAATTAATTTCAATTCAAAAATAAGCAAAAAAATAATAAAGCACGAGTTTCGATAAACTTCGGAAAAAGTTGAAATCACAATGTGTTAAAAATAATCGAACAGAGTGAATTAAAATACTTTGAAAACAAATTTTACGATTGTACATACATTCACCAATGTAGGAGAAAAAAAATTGACAAAAAGTATAACAAAAAGCTGAGTTCATTGATTTTAAATAATATTTAAGATTACTTAGTATTGCCTATGATACAATTCTTTAAAAAAAATTATTATTTTTATGAATAGTTTTTAATAACTGTGTTTCTGTTCTCTCTACACTTTACGATATTTTGATCCCCATTTTTCCTAATGTAAAAGTATTGAATTTTATAAAGTGGAGATAACGAAAAGAGCATATTTTCCAAAAATATAGTCATCCACATTGCAGTGTTGTTTGTGGACAGAATGGGATAAAAAAACAACTTAAAACTACGTTACACTGTATTAAAATATAATAAATAAACATACATATTGCAGGTTCAATTAATTTTAAATGATAAATAACTTATTTTTATCGAGAAAAGTGTAATTGTTTTTGACAAAACAAACTTTCCAGGTTTATTTTGAAGAATGGCATTAATTAGGTACTTTTTGAATAGTATAATAAAAGCAAATGTAAAATTAAATTTACAAATTGGATAAGACGAGAAAAAAATCAAAATTGCCATTGTCTGTAATTTGATGACTACTATAATTTTATTACAACTTCATGCCGAGAGTAATATAATAAAACCTGATTGGAGCGTATTAAATGTAAATCGATGATGATTAATGATTTGTCAAATAAGACAAAAAAAAGAATACTTAAATTTATAATGCATCCTTTATTTTCATAGAAAATAAATTTCCATTCTAGTTTAAATGCTAGCGCTTGAGCGACAATCAGGAACAGTACAACAAATGTACTTTTTTTGCGTAAGGAGTTAATTTTCGCGCGATTAATACAAAAAATTGTTACGTTAGTTAAATTAAAAGTTTTTGTATTGCATCTCGATACAAGACAAACCACCTTTACAGTATAAACTGATATTTGTAAATTGATTAAAATCGCAGTTGATCAATACACTATTTATACCTTAGGCAACCCAAGAATTAGTGGACACATTCTGGGAACTAATCTGTAGCCTTGGCATTACTTGCGATTGATCGTTAATACTAACATTCACTGGAGCATTAGTTACAACAGATGAACTTGAAGGTGGATTTTGAGCGCAAGATGACATGTGTAGTGGCCAGTGCTTTTGTTGACAGGGATAATCGCAGTACGCTGTATTCCAACAACAATAAAAAAGTGCCTCACGTCCACACATTGCACACCACTGCTTTTTCTTTATTTCTTCGACGCACCTTTGCTTATCTTCTTCTGCATGTTTACGTGTTTCTGCAACTGCTCGCAATCTCTCTGCTTCTAAACTCGCTCTCATCTCTTTTAAAGTACGATCTGTAGCAAACAAGCATTTGGAAATTTAATGTAGGGGAGTGTGTCTAGGTTTGAGACGGGTTTTGTTTTTGACCCATAAATTGTAAATGGGTAAACGAAATTGTAAATAAAATATACCGTTCGAAAAGTAACTTAAATACGCAAGCTTTATTCAAAGAAAGTATAGTGTTCAGATGAACTCAAAAAAAGTTATGATCAATTTTTTGAGCACATCGCTTTTGACAAAAAAAATTTGTCCAGTAGTGAGACGCTTTTTAGTCGATTATCACACACAGTGTTGGAATCTAACAAGAACAGTTTATATATCCGCTTCGGCGTACACGAAAAAGTTGGCTCATATAAAAAAATGTTCTTATATAAAAGCAATCGGCTTTTTAATATTGCGTGTTAAAAAAAATCGACTGTCTCACAACTGGAGGTGTCTCACAACTGGACACACTCCCCTACATAGATTTATGACATTACTTTTTAATGTTTTTGGGGTCTCTGATTACAAATCCGTTGTTAGTTATTAAAAATTTTAAATGGCGGATCCAATATGGCGGAAAAGATCATGTATGTTTTCATCATGAAAATAGAGAAAAAGTTTGCGGGCCTTGTGGAAGAAAAATCGTCTTTGGCAAAGTAGAGTTAAAGAAGTTTTTACTTAGTTCCAAAACTGAAAACTTGATTCAGAAGTTCATAAATAAAAATTATAATTTAAATGACGAACGATTTCCACTAAGTGCTTGTGGTACCTGTTGTATAACTTTGCTCGAGGCGGAGAAAGACATTTTTAAAAGGCCGTTTCCATCTATGCCAAATTACGAAGACATTACGAAGATAAACTTGTTGACACCGGGAAAAACAAGAAGTACATTATGAATTTACAAAGCACTATAAATTCTCCTCTATTTCTAGAAAGTGACGAGACTAGGTACTGTTTTAGAAAAATGTATAGTTCCCAAATTGCACATAATGCAAGGTTTTGTCAATTATTTATTTTGGGGCTGGTTGGTTTCTGTTGTAGGAAAAAAGAGAGTTTTGCTATGGCCAAAAAAACTGAAGCTTGTTGCCAAAAATTATCATGGCGAAAGCTTTGAAGGTGACGCATGCCAAAAATTGTTAAGCGAGGCAGATAAACTTAATGATTTGGATATTTTAAAATCCTTCCTTACATTGTTGGTTTCAAAGCTATGGACAAAGTTGTTAACTACCTGCATGAATTTTCTTTAAATTTCAATATATATGTTTATTTTGAAAACAGAATCAGCTACGATTTTCGGACATGAAAATTCAGAATATTGGGACAATTATAAATAAATCTGCGTTAGCAGAATTTTGGTACATTTTAGTTCAACTTAAACGTGCTTAAAGACCACTGTGGAGCTGCAGATGCTGTTATTATAAAAGATGTTATAACATCATGAACAAGAGCATCAAAATATAGATCAGCGTAAAAATCTACTTTGACAACTGCCCCAATTGAAATGACTGGCGAAGAAGCACTTGTCGACATTGTTGGAGCAAAATTCACGAAACAGAGTTATTTGGATATAAGAAGTTCATTGCGTCGTAAAACCTTCAATGTTTGTCCGTCGTATAGAAAAGTTGTAGAAGCGAAAGTTCAATGTTACCCACAAGATATCACAGTTACAGAGTTTTCAGCTGAAGTGAAATTGCAATTCTTATTAAATCACACGTGTGAGCGAATTTCAATGGTACAAAAAGATGTAATAAATTCATTAGACATTTTCGTAATTTAACGATATCGAATTAATAAAAACAAAAGAAATTGATGAATATGTTATGGAGGAACGAAAACGAGTCATTCAAGAAGCCTTCAAAACTCAGCTAGCGTTAATTATTGATAGACCAAAAGTAGGGTCAGACAATTCCAATGACGGAAATACGGCTAGACGTTTGTTTGAAAATTATTATATATCTGCTAGAATTTTAGGAGTCGATGCTAATTTAATGAAACGAATTTATGTAATTTTGCAAGTAATATCAAGTGGTTTCGCGGTTCACAATCCTAAAGCAGTTAATTCAGAGAATTTATAGAAAAATATATTTATAAAAATGAATCCTACTCTTACCTGTATTATATCGTAATTCATCCAGTTGTTGTTGATGCTGCCATCGCATGCGTTCAATTTCAAGTTTTAGAAAATGAATCTTCGCTTGACATGCATCACCCGAAGTTTGTTCAATTTCAGAATTTTCTAATACAGTTTCCCTAAGAGCTTCCTCCATCATTTGCGCCATTCGCTTAGCGAGTTCCAAAGAGCGTTGATGTAATTTCGACGAGAATGGTCCAGCTTCAGGTGGAGGTAACTGCTTCTGAGAAATGGAGTTTTCACCGCTTTGTGGAGGAATATAAACCATAGCATCAACCGGTGGTGCTGTTGTTTTTGATAGAAACGAAAAATTAGGCGGCCGATTAGGAAACGATTTCTTTGCTTTGCTTTGTTTCTTTTTTAAAAGTGGGATATCCCGCGGTTCTTGTTTAACGGGAGAGACAATTTTTTGACCTGCTTGATTAGCAACTTCCGCCGATACTTTTTTCACTTCCACCGATTTATCTCCTGTTAAAACATAATATCTCACTACAGAAGAATTTGTCTCAACCGATGGTGCTGCACTTTTATTTTGCGATTCAGTTTCCAGTGTAGAAACCGATTCTTTAGATTCACTAGCTTTAGATTCACTGACAGCGTTAATTTTTTCAATAATAGTCTTTTTCGGATTGTACAATTTATTAGTGTTCGGTTTAATCGGTTTGAGAGCAATCTTCGGAGTACTGGTGGCAAGAAAAGATGAAATTATTTTAGGTGCAATTTTTGGTGTACAGCTCTTTGAATCTTTTACTGGTGATTTTGGAACTGTTTCTTCGTTGGGTTTATCAGTTGAATTTGTTTTCAAATTGCCACTTGTTTTATTCACGACAATAGTTAATTCCGGTAAGGGTGTAGCCGTCTCTGGTTCATCTTTCTTCTGGTTTTTCGCTGGTTTTATCTTTAATTTGATATCACTCGCTTTTGCAATGTAAGTTTCTAGCTTCTTCATTGACATTACTACGGGATCTTCTTTTTCGATAACAGGTGAACTTCCGATTGACTTTCGCTGCATTCTTTTCTTCGCTATCCCAGGTGTCACTGGTATAGATTTTACAAGACTGGAATTAGTTTTTTCCGTTGAGGAATTAACGTCTTCCCGTGAGGAACTATCACCATCCCAACGATTTCTAAACGACGGTCTTTTCTTTAAGGCCAGTGATTGTGATTTCGTTATGTTAGCCGTTGAATCATAATTCGGTAACATAATTTGTATTTGTGTTTGATCATTAGGATTGTATTGAATTCGAGGTGGGGCAAATTTAAATTCACCAAAGACCATTTCCAATTTTCGACAATGACGAGCAACTTCTCTAACGCACTCGTCCATTTCATTTTTTTTCTTTCGAGGCAAAGGTTGAGGAGGCTCTTCGGAATATAAAAAAACATCTTTAGGAACAACCCAAGCACGATCATGTTCACCAAAGAAACGTACATCGATATATCCTGCTCCATTTATGCGCGGTAACGCTTTAGCTGGCCAAAATGGAAATCCCTTAAGTTTTGCCCAGACAATTGGATGAGGACGACGACAAGGTTCAATGAACCAACTGGGCAAAGGACGCGGTAAATTGCGACCATGCATATAACAATCTGGACATGCTTCCAATTCTGACACCTCTTGCCTTGCAACTTTCACTATTTGCTTTGCGGCACTTGTTAATTTTGACGGGTCAGCGTAGACTCCTCCACCTTTTTTAAAAAAAGCTAAATATAATTTTTAAATATTTAAGGTTCATTAAGTATCAAATATAAAAAATATTTTAAACTAGTACTATTAGATGTGACGCTAAAGGAAACAGAAGCACACAAAAATTGATGAAAGATTCTTTCTACCAGATCAGGTATATTATGTGACTTTGAGGTCACCAGGGCTCGAACCAGTGAAAGTATTTGAAAATATGGACTTTAGGGACAAAAATAAAAATTACGGACCAATTACTGACAAAAATATAACCAGTCCAAGTCAAATAAGAGAACATTTTACTTAAAACTATAAATTCAATTTTCCATAACTATAAAACATGAAAATATCGATAACTCCGAGTCTTCGACTCGGAGTGATCGATTTCTTCCTGTCTTATAATAAATAATTATTAAAGATGACCGAGTGATAAAATCATTTACAATTCAATTATTATTTACAAGAATTTTTAACTAAAATTCTTCTGTAAATCGATTATTTTTAATAATTTTCGAAAAAGTTCTTTGACAATTTTCAAATCCATTTCATTACAATATTCAAATTTACGAAATTTCAATTATTCGTAAATTCTTCAATAAATAAATATTATAAAATAAAAACTTTAAAAAATAAAAAAAATCTGCAATTAAAGTTTCTCAAAAAAAAAAAAATAATTTCACAGAATTGTTAGTTAAAAATATGGAAAATTCAAATTTTCAAAGATTTTAATCTGTAACCTTTTCAAAATTCAATTATTTCTAAAAATTTACGCTCTAATGCTTTTAAAATTTAATTATAATCTAAAATTTTAACTGAAATCCAATCAATATTTATGAGAAAATTCTACGAGAATGCAATTATTTAAATACAAAAATAACAATTTATTGAATAATTGCATGTTTTTTAAAATTGAATTCTTATAAAGAATTTTATTAACAAATTTTTAAATAATTGAATTCTTTTGATGAATTTTAATAAAATTTTTAAGAATTTTTTCGAGAAATTCGATTAAAATTGTATTAATTAAATAATTGAAATTCTGGAATGAGTTTTATTATTTATGAAAATAATTGAATTCCTAAAAAAAATTTTATTATTTACGAAAATAATTGAATTCACAAAAAGAATTTTATTACTCTTTGAAAATAATTGAAATTCCGCAATAATTTGTAATTTGTTTCTAAAATTCAATTTTTTTTAGTGATTTCAACTAAAATTCATTTTTAAATCAATTTTTAATAGTAAATTTTACGAAAATTTAATTATTTAAATACAAAAATGAATAATTCATTGAAAAATTGAATGTATTTATGAAAATAAATGAAATTAGGTACTGCGAAGAAATTTAATAAAATTTGTAAATAATTGAATTTCTGTGAAATTTTTATTATTTAAGGTAGTTCTCGGGCTGCTACTCTTGTAAAAATTGATTTTTGATAGATTTTCTTCAAATTTTGAGAATATGTTTCTTCGGGTGCCATTTAAATGTGGTAGAAATTTCAAAACCCTTTGCCATGTCAAAGAACGAGATATTGTGGTTGACATTTTTTTATTTTTAACATAATCGCATGTAAAAGTGAAAGTTTGAACTTAAATAACTCAAAATTTAGCATCGCATGAAAATAGTAGATATTGAAAATTTATATTATTATATTATATTTATTTATTACTCAATCAGGGTTGCCACAAAAATTTAATTTTGTTTTTCCTTAACTTTTTCTTGATTTCCAAACAAATTTTTTACTTTTTCCCTGACTCTAAAAAATATTCTGATTCACTCTAAAAAATATTAGATATTAAAAAAAATGTTTTATTACATTTATTTCCGAATTTCTTTAATTGTAAATTGATTCGAAAACATCAATAGTTTTATTTAAAATAAATATGCAGTCATTTTTATGTTTCCATAGGAACTTCTTCAAAATTATTTTCATCATTTCAATTCAATTATGATTCTTTAGAATTAATAACTAAAATTCTTCTGTAAACCAATTTTTTTTTAATAATTTTTGAAAATATTTTTTAAAAATTTTCAAATTTATTTGTTTACAATTCAATCATACGAAATTTCTTCAATTTAATTTATATTGGAAAATAAAAACTTCCAATAATTTCAAAAAAAAATTCAATTAAACTTTATCAAAAAAATTAATTCTACAGAATTATTAGTTAAAAGTATAAAGAATTCAAATTTGAAATCTTATCAAAATTCAATTATTTCTAAAAATTTACACTATTAAATATTTTTAATAGGCTTTTAATATTCAATTATTATTATCTTAAATTTTAGCTAAAATTAATTTTTAAATCAATTTTTATTTGAAAATTCTACGAGAATTCAATTTTGTAAGAGGAAATCAATGGTGAAAAACTAAAATCGTTCAGAAAATATTTTAATCCTTTTTGAATTTTTATTTTACTTAAAAACTGGTAGATTTTTTTATGAATAATTACATTTCTCGAGGAATTCAATTAAAATTCTATTAAAAATAATTGGAATTTCGCGATAAGTTTTATTATTTATGAACATAATTAAATTCTATTATTTATGATAATAATTAAATCCCTGTAAAAAATTTTATTATTTATGAATGTAATTTTATTAGTACGAAAAAATTTATAAAAAAATTTCAAATAATTGAATTACAGTGAAATTTTTATTATTTATGAAAATAATTAAATGTTTGCATAGAATTTTATTAAAATTTTTTTTAAATAATATCTAACTTGTAATTCACAACCCCAAAAACTCTCATGTAAATCTGATCATTTTTTAAAAATTCGTCCGCCATATTGGATCTCCCATTTTTAATTTTTTTAAATTAACATCAGAATCGTGTTCAGCGACCCTAAAATAATACAATTCATCTCGTTTGATCAAAGAAACCTTTCATCGATTTTTTGTGGTCCTGTGTAAATTGCATTCAAATTTACACTGACTTAATTAATACATGCTATTCATGAAAACAAATAGAAAGTGTAATCTACAGGTTATTTTTAAACTTTTATTCCACATGGGCGATTCTTCACAAAGTGGTAACTTTTAACTGCGTTAACTTTTTATATAAAAAATTAATTTTCTTGCAAATTTCCTATGTAGATCTTTTTAACAAAACTTGAAAATAATTATTTTGTTGACATTTGAGCTTAATTTTTTTTTAATCTTATATAAACAATTTTAACACATTTAGTTTAGAGATTAAATAATAATTTTTAAGAAATCCATTAATAATAAAAATAGTGTAAAGATACAAATAAAATGTATTCTGAGCAAGCTTATAAAATTATAATATTACAAAATATTTAAACACAAATAAATTTATAAATCCACAGATTTATATCATTATCTGTCTTTTTGATGTTTTAAAATTTGAGTTGGGTGAATAGATTTTTTAACATTAAAAATTCGCATTCATTTTACTTTCCTTTGCTTCAAATACTTGAAATAATTCATTAAATTAAAAAAATATGAAAAAAATTTCAAAAAACGTAATACTTGAGTCATTTAAAATTTTTTTAAATTTAGGCATTTTTTGTTTTTTTCTTTCCCCTTTTTAACTATTTCTAATCTGATCCAAAAACATTTTATAGAAGTTTAAATTAACAGTAATAATATCAACTTTTTAATGTCGTTGGACAATTTTTGAAATATTAGCTTAGGTAAGAAATATAGAGAATTAAATGATCAACCATACTTTTCAATTATATTTCTAAAGCAAAGATGAAGAAAAGACTAATTTTAAAAATTTTACGTGGCCTCTAACCAAAAAAACCGTAGACAACAATTTTTAATAAATTCTGCAATATTGATTTGGACATTTAAAATTTTATGAATTCGACAAAGTGTTGAGTCAGCTATTTAAAAAAACCGCTGACTATTTATTTACTAGAAAGTTTAATTTTTTTCATAAATATCCCCCGTCATTTAAAATTTTAAAAATCTGACATCAAATTCGTAACCAGCGAGATAAAAAAACTTTGTATGGTGAATTTGAAAAAAAAATTATAAATTTAAATTCTGGTCGACATACTGAATCCGCCATTTTTAATTTCGGAAAATAGCATAAAATTCTGTAAAGTTTATGTTGGAGATCTCTTAGAACTTTAGAAATTAGTTTTTTCTGCATTTTTTACCAAGAAATAAAATTGGAAAGTGTTTTTGGTCATTTAATTCTCTATATTTCGTTTCGAAGATAATATTTCAAAAAGTGTCCAACGGTATTAAGTATTTTCCATTCTAACCTTTAATTTGAGTTGCTGTGATATGTTTTTGGCTCGAATTTGAAATGGAGAGAAGTCGTGTCCCACTTGAGAAAGAATGCCTCATTTTCAAATATTTTTCTCATTGATTAATTAACTAAACTTTAAGTTTACTTTTAATTATGCAGTTCAGTATCCACCTTATCTTTGCTATGGCAAAAACGAAATTTACCAGCTTCTTCTCAACGTCAGCTACAATTATTTCGTCCACGATGCACATTACGTATAAGATCTTAAACAATAGATTTAAAAGAAAGTAAAATTTAAATTACGTTAAAAAATAAAAATAACTAAAAATAAAAGGATTAAAAATATATCAGTGTATTTACAGGGTTGCTACAAAAATTTAATTTTGTTTTTTCCTGATTCCCAGATAGAACTTTAACTTTTTCCCTGACCTTAGAAAATATTTTATTTCACTCTAAAAATAATTAAATACACAAAAAAATATTTGTTATACATTTATTTTTGAATATCTTTAATTGTAAAATTATTCTGAAAATTAACAGTTTTTTAAAATAAATATCTAATCATTATTATTATTTTTCACTAGAATTAAGATTTAAAATAATTTTTATTTTCAAATCTTTTGAAATTCAATAATTTATAAAAGAATTGATACTGTAACATATCCGAAATTCTTTCCAAGATTTCAATTCAATTATTTTATAGAATTTTTAACTAAAATTCTTCTATAATTCAATTATTTTTAATAATTTTCGAGAAAAATTGCTTAAGAATTTAAGCAATTTAATTTTTATTTTATTATTTATTTAAAGAAAAAAAATACTACCAAACATATTTTCGAAATCTACTTGTTTACAATTTAATTTTATAAAATTACAATAATTTAAAAAAATTTCAATTAAATATATTTATAGTCAAAAATACAATTAATTTAAACAAAAATTTGAATAACAGTGTTTCAAAAAAATAACTTCTTCTGAATTTTTATTAACATTTTTTTTAACTTTTCAAAAACTTTAATTTGAAACTTTTTGAAATTCAATCTACATTTAATAATATATGTAACATTAATTTAACATTCTAAAATATAAAAATAGTTACTTATAAATTATCGTAGAAAAACTAATTAATATCAATGCAAAATTTGGTTTTTTAAAAATTTATTTTCTAAGAAAAACAGAATTTTATTTATTTTAATGTCTTGTTTTATGTAGAATTAAAAAATTCATATCACTTTTGTTCTAATTAGTTTAAATTTTTATTAATTCAAATTTTAGAGAATAAGTAGAATAATATTATTGCAGAAAAAAATTAGAAATTAATTTATTTTCCACAATTTTGCGTGAATTTGTGAAATTTTTTCTATTTAAAAAAATATAATTTTTGATTTTTATATTAATTTGTATGTTAATTTTTGTAATCTTTGTATCTTTTTGTAATTTTCAATCTGAAATAATTTTTTTTTACATAGAATTTTATTAAAGTTTTTGAAAATAATTTATTTATTTATTTATTGAAAAACATACGGGCATTCAATTCTTTAATTAAATTAAATCTTAATTACATTCTTTTGAGAAATACAATTAAAATTTTATTGAAAATAATTGAATTCTTATAAAGAATTTTATAAAATTTTTTTTAAAGGTAATTGAATTGTTTCAAGTAATTTCCTTAAAATTATATTGAAAATAATCGAATTCTTGCGAAGAATTTTATTACATCTTTAAAAATAATTGAATTTTTCTAAAATTTTTTCGACGAATTTCATTAAAATTGTATTAAAAATAATTGCAAATTGTTTTGAAGAATTTTATTAAAGTCGAATTTTTTTAAAATTTAGCCTAAAAAATGATTCAAAATTCAGTTAATATTTGAAAATAAAAATTTTTGTAACTTACATAATAATAATTAAAAATCAAATACTGCGTTTGCGTATAACATTTGTTAATTATTTATATTATTTATAAAAATTAAAAACCCAACTTTTATAAAATTCAATTATTTTTTGAATTTTCAAAGAATTTTAATTTTATTTGCAAAATAATTTATAAATAATAATAGTTCGATAGTTTTTCAAGAATTAAATTATTTAAAACAAATTCAATTTCTAATCTGTAAAGTTCAGTTATTGTTAGAAATAGAGGGAATTTAAAATTAAATGGAATATTTTCTTTTTTTAAAGCTGTTGCGATGGACAACAAAATTTAGAATTTTTTTATGAATTAAATTAATTAAATTTCTGTTGTAATTAAGAATTTCCTTTTTGTGAATTTAGGTGAGTTGCATTGAAGCAAATATTTTTAAAGTGTCGAATGAATCATAATGCTGTTTGAATTTGACGAGTAATTTAAAAATCCGATAGCTTACATTTGTTATAAAATTTTATTTGTTTTCATGAAAAACATATTTTCAAGTAATTGTTATAAGATATATTAAAATGTTTAAAAAAATTTTTAATTAAACTTACATGTATTAAAAACAATACAATTATGTTGAATCCACTTTGCATCTGCCATGAATGCGTCAGTACTGCCGTATAATTTTGATTTAACGTTATTCTCTAATAAACATAAATCCATAGGCTTTACAACGTATTCCATATAATTACTAACTTCCTTAGTATCAACTTCTTTCCAAAATGGTTCCGACTACACAAAAAGAAGAAATATTCATTTGTAAAAAAAAATATCTCTAATACTCTCTCTCTCTCTCTCTTAATAATTTTTGTACAATCTTTTCCATTTATTCTGAACATTGAATAAAACTTAAAATTTTTTTTAAATTAAGTTCTGTAGGGAAATGTGAAAAAACTAGTAAAAATAAGTTTTGATGCTTACCCCAGGATAATCCCGCATTCTGTCAATTATATGTTTTAGAAGCATGCAAAGTTGATCAACAGAAAGTTGAGACATTGCTTCAGAGCGAGTCTCTGCATTTTCTGCTTTCAGAATAGTGGCACATTCTCCACATATCCAGCTTTGAACGTTGGCTAATTGTGCTCCACCAATGCATTTTCGATGCCAAGAACGTGGACATGCACTGCATTGAACATCCACTGTCTCCTTATGACAACGCCAGCAAAATTTGTCACTACTATTTTGTACCTTCTTTTTCTTCGCCTTACCAGCATTATCCTCAGAAGCAGAATCTCTTTCCTGAGTACTAAAAATAATGTATTACTGGAACTCTGTTATCTTTCATACTATCTATCAATGTACGTATCAATGTATTAAAATATTTCATTTTCAAAAACACAAACCGATTCCAATAACAATTACTTCAAATTATCAGATTAAATATATGATTGAATATATATGCAACTCAGGCGTATTATGCTAACTTTACCTAAATAAACGCATACTAAGTTCCCCCTTATAGTCTAACGGTAAATAAAGTGCCCATTATTGCACTAGGACAATGAAGTACCCATTATTGCTCTAGGGCAATAAAGTACCCATTATTACCCCAGGGCAAAAAAGAATGAAAAATATATTTAGTGCCATAAACCACTAAAATATAATCCAGTTTTATTCAAGAATAAAATTAATAATTTTTTATATTTAAATATTATTATCTTTTTACAAGCATAACAGATAGAATTTCAAGGATTTTAATTTAAATACTTTTTGAAATTTAATTATTTCTAAAGAATTCTACTTTAACACTTCTAAATTATTTTCCACAGTTTTTACTAAAATACTTTTTTTAAATCAATTCATTAAATAAATAATTATTTTTTAGAATTGCACGTGTATCTCTTTAGTGACTTTCTGAAATTTGGGTTAAATTTTCTAACTTCACTTATTTTATTATTCTTTTACAAATTAACTGTCAAACTTTTGATATACACTACCGTCCATGAGTATCAGGACGCCCTTTTTTTCATGAGTGGAAAAATGCTTAAAACGTAGAAAATAAGAATGACAAAAATTTTTCGTATTTTTTTCCGTAATAATTTGTTAGAAACTACAGTAAATCTATTGATATTTTTAATTATACCTAGAGGAACATAGTCAAGGATGGCCCATTGGGATTTTTTTAGACAAAATCACTAGAACCACCTATAATAATTGTCAAATTATTGATTGAACATTTAAATTACTAATAAAACAAATTATTGAGAATTAACATTCGAATATTATATTAATTAACAAATTGATTAAATAATTATTGTATTATATTATTTCCAATGAATTGCTTGCAAAAACTTGGTAATTAATAATTTTATGATTGTTAATATTAATAACTATAATTTTTAAATAATTTACGTACAAAAATGTAAATATTATTATATAAAATATGTCAAAATTATACAGAAAATGTTAAATTCGCCATTTCTGTAAAATCTAGAAATTTGGAGTTGAAAGGGGAGATGAAGTTGAGGAAGGTCAAGACTCAGCCCCTTTTTCAAAGGTCCTCTTAAGCGTAAAACCCATTAAAATGGAACAGAGCCCAAATTCATCAATTAGCCTCTTTTTCTTAATGCATTTTCTCTCCATTTTCTTTTCTTAAACCAATTCTAAAATAGCCAACCTTTTTTCCCTTTCTACAATATTTCCGTCCACAAATTTTCCTCCCCTAAAAAATTGGTAGTGGGAACAGTTACATAAATATACGTGTTCCTTAAGGAAAAATCAGTCATCATTAAAAATTCTAAAAGTCAAAAATCAATCGTCAAGTCTTCTAAAAATCAATTCTCAAGTATTCCTATTCATCTTCCGAGTTCTTCAAATCAAAGAAATTAATCTTTCAAGTCTTATACAAATCTCTTAAAAATCTTCAAGTCTCAAGTTCAAGTTCTTTCAAGTTTTTACTACAAATTTAAAAATTTAAATTGTTAATAAATCTCAAGTTCCTGATTTTATTACTCAACTTCATCCAAGAATCCAAGTCCAGTTTTCAACTTTAATCTTCGATCATTAATTTTTAGAAAAGTAAGTAAAATTGAATTCGCTGTTTTCTTTTCTTTCTAATGTCTTATTTATCCTAATATCAACTTTATCCCAATTCCGAAAAGGTTTCTTACGTCGTAAGAGAATGTAAGAAATTTATTCCAATAATTAAACTCTTTATATATTGAACTAAACAAAGAAATAAAAAGAAAGTATTCCTAAGCTATTGGATGTAAAAATCCAGGCTTAAAACAAATTTATTTAATTAAATTTAATATTTAATTAATTACGGCATCGGCTTGGCATAACTCCCCGATGAGATTGTGTGGATTTTGAGAAAAGCGGTAGTTGCGAATAGCAGAGTATTTCTTGGACGGGATTCGATGCAAATGTTTCGAATTTTCTGTTAACTTCGCAAACACTCAGAAATGAGTGTTACAGACTGTTTATCGCTGAATCTATTGCATACAAAAAAGGTTTTATTCATGCTAATAAAGACATATCAGTTTCAGATATTATCAACAACATGGATCCAGACAGTCTCTCGATTCTTTTATTCATGGAGCACATGAGTTTTCGTGACACCTTCGGTTCTAATCCCGTAACGATGTTACAGGTGTAAAAGATTCGGGTATGTAGTATCTCAATGCAGACCAACGAACGAGATTTGTGAACATTGCGGTCAATCTCATTCTCCTGAAGCTTGCACCAAACCCTCTTCTCGAGATTATTGCATTAACTGTTGTGTAAATCAAAAGACTTCATCAAGTACGTATCCCGCGTATAGAAACGAATGCGAGTTAATGAAAGAACGTTACATTCATAATCTTTTAGATGCTGAGGCTAGGGGCAGAGTCAGAGCCCTAGGCAAAATCTAACTCCAAACCCATAAGAATGACGCTACCTCTAAAAGTGGAAATGCTGTTGATCAACGGAGGATTTCTGAGGAATCCAACACTACCGACCCACCATTATTTACGAATAATCGCGGTAACGAAACATACGACCTAGACAACTTAGCATTAAAGGATAATCAAAACATGGATACTGATTCGAAAACAGAGGGAAATTTCAGAAACGCTGAAGCACTAAGCTTCAGTTTCCTGTTGACAAATATTCCTGAAGATGCTCAGTTAATGGTCATGGGCGATTTCAACGCTCACACTCCTTCCTTCTCACCTTTCAACTTAAATAACGCAGGAAAAAGGCTTCTTGAAGCAATTGAATTATGGAATCTCATCATAATGAACGATGGCCTCGCAACTTACAAATCTTCATCTCATAGTTCGGAAAGCACACTTTATCTCATCTTGCTTTCTCCGTTGTTGGCTGAACTGGGACTAACCGAAACACTAATATAAAAATTCATTAGTCATCACTGTAACGTTGTAAATACTAAAATAACCTGGAGGATAGCGAAAAACTCAGAAATCGGCCAAAATAATATTATTTTATATTTTCCCTGATGTTTTATAACTTTTTTCATTGTGATCCTGCTCGAAGCCTTGTATTACGAGGGATTCATCGTGGAAAGCAGCGTTATTTCGACCACTCGTCGTTTCTGGGACGTAATGGATTGACGACAAACTTTAATCGTGGATTTTGAATTCAAAATTGCCGCCAAGGGTCACAAGTTTTCTGTTACTTTGATGCCAACTTCAAGAAGGAAGAATGTTGTGACCGATTCAAACTGATTGTCACTAATTTCCAACCAAGTACTGAATTCAGCCCTCGATTGAGACAAAGAGTTTCACATGGAAATAATAGGCCCAAGCGCCTTATCAGTCTACGACCCTGCCCATTGGGCTTTTTTACACTTTATGGTTATATATTGCTTATGCTGGTTGCTCGAATCAGAGGAAGGCACCAACTTCGAGAATCTACAGATTTTTGTGGATAACACACCTATCAATTGCAAAACATCGATGAACCACTTGAGTATTGTTCTGGATCGTAAATTTACCTGGCATGCACATATTAAATATATCGCTAATAAAGCCACTAAGGCATTAGGTATTCTTAGGATCATCTCTCGCGCTACCTGGGGAACTTCTCCTATACGATCGATTCTTGATTCAGGCTCACCCCTCTTTACTGACGGCCCTCTTGAACAAAGGAGATTACACCTCTCCAATTCCTTTATAGTCAGGAATGCTGAATGGCAGGACAATCCACTTGTTCCACTCCTTAAACACCTAAATTATAAGACCAAAACTACGAGACTGAAATTTAATATGAAAAAATCCCTCTCCTTGAATCCTTCTGCAGAATGTATCCTTTGACTAAAATTTGCAACATTTTGCGAAAACCTGCATATTTCGACTGGAAATTGTCTGCTCTTATAAAATCACCTAAATGCAACATTACTACCGGACACTTACTTAAGAACCTGGATAATCCAGACCACAAGTTTCGTAACATTTTACAATCTGATTTTCAAGATTTTAATCCTATATACGCAGATGGCTCCTTTAATCCTGACACAGGACTGGCAACATCGGCATTTTATGATGAATACAATGATTACACACAAGCCATTCCTTTACAACCTTGCGTCTCTATACTAACGGCTGAAATTGTTGCTATTTATAAAGCCATCCTATACATTGTTGAACACCGACTCTCACACGCTATTATCATTTCGGACTCTCTATCTTCTCTCATGAGACTTAACAACTGTCTTCTGTACAAAGACAACCCTTATATTCTATACTCCATCCTAGACCTCTTATTTCCTTCTGTTTATGTGGATTTCCATCCTAACATTAAATTCATCTGGATTCCCTCACACTCTGACATAAGGGGTAATGAATTTGTCGATTCAATCTGTAGAGAAGTTAATATCACACACCACAACCGAATATATATGGGAGCTCCAATTATTGATTTCAAAAATAACATCCTTATCCAAGACAAACTGACAAATTTGGCCTATTCTTGGCCATTTACAGACAGGGATCTGTCCAACCACAGATATTTTGCCAGGGTGATAAACTCAATAACCAGACTGTGCACCGGTCATACTTTCACTTATGAACTTTTTTCAAGACTCAATTTGAATGCGACGGTGGGCTGCGGCTGTGGTGAGGAGAGGAGAACCTTGGAACATATTATTCATGACTGCCCCTTATTACAACCTAAAAAAAACAAATTTTATAACTACTTACAAAGAAAATACCCGAATGCTGATCCCAGAACGGTCTTAATCGATGATATGATCTTCCCTCCTGATAACACAGGCACACAAAAAAAAAGTGTCGTGGCCGAGACACTACAGTAGTATATTCCCATGTATTTTTGGCCGCTGAATCCGAATCTGAAGTCCGAATGCTCAAATTGGTTCTTTTTTTGAGTTATACTCAAAAAACGACTCAAAACACGAATTTGAACCAAAAAAATTAAAAAATTTTTTTGTGACATGACAATAGCATATTTCCATGTTAGGCTTATTCCATGTATTTTTTCCCGCTGAATCCGGATTCGAAGTCAGAATTGACAGATGTGCTCAAAATTATGAGCTAAACTCAAAAAACGACTCAAAAAACCGAATTAAAATGACGGAAATGAAAAATTTTTTCTGTGACATTGCAAAAGTATATTCCTATGTATTTTTGCATGCTGAATCCAAATTCGAAGTCAAAATTGACAGATTTGCTCAAAATTTTGAGATAAACTCAAAAAACCACTCAAAAAAAGACTCAAAAAACCGAATTAAGATGAAAAGAATTTTTTATGACACTACACTACTATATTCCCATGTACTTTTTCCCGCTGAATCCAAATTCACAGTCAGAATTGACAGATTTGCTCAAAATTTTGAGATAAGCTCAAAGAACTGATAAAAAAAGCGATTTAAAATAAAGAAATGGAAATTTTTTGCTATGACACTACATTACAGTATTTCCATATCGGATCTCGCATTTAAAGTCAGAATTGACAAATTTATGACTGATTTGCTCAAAATTTTGAGATATACTCAAAAAACTGATAAAAATGTAACTTAATATGAATAAAGGAAATTTTTTGCTATGACACTACACTAGTGTATTCCCATGTATTTTTTCACTGTGATTCCAAAGTCAGAATTTTCAAAGTGGCTCAAAATTTTGGATTTCATTAAAAGTGCTCAAAAACATGCATGCTTGTACCTGTAACCAGGGTTTGAGTTCTAAAAAATTTTATGTCATTCTGATAATTCTAACTTCGAATTTGTATTCAGCGTATATAAAATTCATGAGAATACACTACCGAATACCAAAAAAATGAACTCTTTTGCATTAAATTAAATTTTGAGCATTTTTGGATTTAACTTAAAATTTTGAGCCAATTTAATAATTTTAACTTTGAATTTAGAAGCAGATGTAAAAACATGAGAATATACTAATGTAGTGTACTAGCAAGAAAAGTAGAGTTTCTTGACTTTAATTTTTGTAACTTAACAGATTTTCTTGTGTGTCTCAAAATTTTGAGCCATTAGAATAATTCTGACTTCAAATGCGAGATCCGAGTGTAAAAATATATGGAAATACTGTAATGTAGTGTCATAGCAAAAAATTGCCATTTCTTTATTTTAAATCGCTTTTTTTATCAGTTCTTTGAGCTTATCTCAAAATTTTGAGCAAATCTGTCAATTCTGACTGCGAATTCGGATTCAGCGGGAAAAAGTACATGGGAATATAGTAGTGTAGTGTCATAAAAAATTCTTTTCATCTTAATTCGGATTTTTGAGTCTTTTTTTAGTGGTTTTTTGAGTTTATCTCAAAATTTTGAGCAAATCTGTCAATTTTGACTTCGAATTCGGATTCAGCATGAAAAAATACATAGGAATATACTTTTGCAGTGTCACAGAAAAAATTTTTCATTTTCGTCATTTTAATTCGGTTTTTTGAGTCGTTTTTTGAGTTTAGCTCAAAATTTTGAGCACATCTGTCAATTCTGACTTCGAATCCGGATTTAGCGGGAAAAAATACATGGAAATATGCTATTGTCATGTCTCACAAAAAAAATTTTTAATTTTTTTGGTTCAAATTCGTGTTTTGAGTCGTTTTTTGAGTATAACTCAAAAAAAAGAACCAATTTGAGCATTCGGACTTCAGATTCGGATTCAGCGGCCAAAAATACATGGGAATATACTACTGTAGTGTCTCGGCCACGAAACTTTTTTTTTTGTGTGCCTGTGTAATGAAACGGTCATTGAACTGGGTGGGTTCTTGAGCCAATCTAGACAGCCAATATAGTCCTACGGAATATATGGCTTGTCTCCTAAACTCATTGCCAATGATGGAGGACGCACGATACGATGCCGTTCGGGCCCATTCAATAAATCTATCTAACAGTCGACTTTACTTATTTTTGCTGACAATCTTTTTCTTAAATTTTCTCTCCATTCACCCGACACATACTCCCTCTGACCAAATGGACAAATAAGGAACAACATAGACGATATGGAAATGTCCAGACATTCACATCAAGGGAGCAGGATCTTCACAAATACTGACTGCCTATATCTTATAACTCATGACTTAAGGAGGAAATCACTTAACAATAATTCTGACAATTTACATCTTTCTTTTCTCAGATTTTAGTTCTGACAGTCGGCTACGCCAAAAGTAATTTAAGAAGAAAGAAAGAAAGGATCAGAGGAAGACAAAGGAGGCAGGAGGGAAATAATTTACTATCCAGTTGGAAGAAATCTCCTTCTGTATCTGCCAAGGTATCATCAGCTGACATATCAGGTCCTCGACACATTGTTGTATCAAAATAGTGCATCAAAGATGTTTTTGTTGGTAAGATAATACACACACATTTTCCCAAAACATATTAGAAAAATAATATTATATTCTATAAATTTTGTTTATTATTTCATTAAGTTAGTTTGAACTGTTACGCGTTACTTTTTTGTAACAGTAACGTGCAGTAACGTATTACTTTTTTGTTTTTAGTATTTGTAACCCTTTACATTTTACAAGTTGTAATATACTTCAATTGATCAAATTCATTTTTAAAAAAAAGATAAACATAAGTCAAAAAGTGGGCCGACCTTGACTATGTTCCCCTACATATTACTTTTTTTAATACAAGAAGATGAAAATTTCTTTACCTTGTACTTTTACGTTTCCTTCTTCCTTCCTTTTGCTCTTTCACATCCTTCTCCACTTCATTTGTTTGTACATCACTTAATACACACGTCAACTTAAGATCATCTTTCAAAACCTGAATCATCTTTGAATACTCTGCGCTTCTTGTATCTTTATCCTCTGTACTTATATAATTTCGTTGATCTGTTTGAACATCAGAAGTTGATGATACTTTAACATCATTTTTAATTTCTGTTGATATTTCCTTATCACTATTAAGACGCTGTTCCGTATTATTTGAGGCAGATTTTATTTCATTTTGCGTTAGATCACTTGACAGAGAGGTAGTTGTTGTATTATCTGTACTACAATTTAAAGAATCCATATTTGATGAACCTTTACACCAAGAAACACCTAAAACAACATTAAAAAATTCTTCTTACTTTAAATTAATAAGTAAATAATAAACAAACAATTGTTCTTAATTTTTATATTCTTTTTGACTTCCTTTTTACTTTTGAGTCGTATTTACAATTCACATTTTCTTATAAATACATTACACTTTTTTAACATCAGTAGTAAATTGTTTTTATGCGGTGTTGGGTGTTTTTTTGTTGGGTAAAAAATTAAAATAGAAAGAATTCTGTTAAGTATATTCAATATTTTTGATACTTTGTATATATACATATGTCTGCGTAATTTGGTAAAATGTTAAAAGCACAGGACCAAAAGCAAAAAAGAGCCCACAACCGGCACACTTCTCTTACATAATAATTATAAATAATAATAATAAAGGATATTGATAACAAATAATATTTACAATAAAATTTTTTAGTTCAAAAAATAAGCTTTTTATTGCTAGTTATCAGTTTCACATTAAATATTCCATTATTTAATTTTTTATATTCGCTCCGACATTTTAAGTTTTAAAAATATAACTTCGTATTATGTTTAGTATGTATTTGAATTTTCGGAAATATGTAATTGAAAATACTAAAAATATTGAATTTAAAAAAATTAGAAGTTAATTTTTTTTAATAATTTTCATTTTAAAATTTACATTTGAATTTCATTAAAATTTATGAGAATTCAATTATTTTCAAAATTTGCAATTCAAACTCTTTATGTTTTATAATAATTAAAGATGACCGAGTGATAAAATCATTTACAATTCAATTATTATTTACAAGAATTTTTAACTGAACTTCTTTTTTAAATCGATTATTTTTAATAATTTTCGAAAAAGTTCTTTGACAATTTACAAATCCATTTCATTATAATATTCAATTTTACGAAATTTCAATTATTCGTAAATTTTTCAATTAAATAAATATTAGAAAATAAAAACTTAAGATAATATTTTAAAAATTCATTTAAACTTTTTCAAAAAAATTAATTTCAAAATCCAATTAATTTAAGAATTTACGCTATATTGCTTTTAATATTCAATTATTATCTAAAATTTTTAATGAAATTAATTTTTAAATCAAATTTTATTAGAAAATTCTAGAAGAATTCAATTATTTGAATACAAAAATAAATAATTACTTGAATAATTAAATGTTTCTTAAAATTCCATTCCCATAAAGAATCGTTATCAACAAATTTTCAATTAATTAAATTCTATCAACAAATTTTAATAAAATTTTTAAGAATAATTACATTTTTCGAAAAATTTGATAAAAATTGTATTAAAAATAATTGAAATTTAGCAATGAGTTTTATTATTTGTGAAAATAATTGAATCCCTAAGAAGAATTTTATTACTTTTGAACAATATTTCATTTTTGCATAGAATTTTATCAATATTTTTGAAAATAATTGAAATTTTTATAAGAATTTTATCAAAATTTTAGAAAATAATTGAATTTTGGAGAAGAATTTTATTGCTTGTAAAAATAATTGAAATTTTGCCAAGAATTTTATTAAAATTTTAGAAAATAATTGAATTTTAGAGAAGAATTTTATTGCTTGTAAAAAAATAATTGGAATTTTGACGAGAATTTTCATAAATTTCTAAACATAATTGAATTTTTGCGAAGAATTTTATGACTTTCTCAAAAAAATTGAAATGCCGCAATCATTTGTAATTTATTTCTATAATTCAATTTTTTTTTTGTGATTTCAACTAAAATTCATTTTTAAATCAATTTTTAATAGTAAATTTTACGAGAATTTAATTATTTAAACACAAAAATAAATATTTTATTGAAAAATTGAATGTATTTATGAAATTAAATGAAATTATTACGAAGAAATTTAATGAAATTTGTAAATAATTGAATTACTGTGAAATTTTTATTATTTAAGAAAATAATGAAATGTTCGCGTAAAATTTAATCGGAATTTTTGTAAAATAATTGAATTCTTTTGGAAAAATTTATTAAAACAGTAGATATTGAAAATCATTATTGTGGAAAATTTTTGGAAAAAAATTGAAATTTTGACAAGAATTTTATTAAAATTTTTGAAAATAGTTGAATTTCTAAAAAGAATTTTATTATTTAGGGAAATAATTGAATCCCCGTATTCAAAAAAGTTTTTACGTCCGAGTTGTTTTTTCAATTAATAGGTAAAATAAACTTTTTACACAAATACATTCGGACAAGTGGTTTTTAATACAAAAATTACTCCAACGTTTCGAAATCAATACGATTTCCTCTTCAGGGAGTCTATAAAATAATACAAAAAATCAAAATATAAAATAAAAATTAAAAATACAAAATAGAATTACTAAGAAAATAAATAAAAATTTAGAAACATTAAACAATACAAATTAAATACACAAAGACATTAAATAATATTTAGAAACAACAATAAATTAAAATAATTAAAACAACTAAAACAATAAATAAAATAAAATACAAACAATAAAAATAATATGAATCAAATAAATAAGGAGAAAAAGACAAAATAAAAATAAAATTAATAATATCTTGAATCCCCGCAAAAATTTTATTATTTATGAAAATAATTGAATGATTGCGAAGATATTTATAATAAAAATAGTAAATAATGAAATTCTTGTGAAATATTTATTATTTTTTAAAAATAATTAAAAGTTTGTGTAGAATTTTATTAAATTTTTTTTTAATAATTGAATTCTTTTGGAAAATTTTATGAAAATAGTAGATATTGAAAATCACAGAATTGAGGAAAATTTTTTAAAATAATTGATTTTCGGAGAAGAATTTAATTATTTCTAAAGATAATTGAAATGTTGATGAGAATTTATTTTTAAAAATTTTGGAACATAATTGAATTTCTGCGAAGAATTTTATTACTTTTGAAAATAATTGAATTTCTGCAACCATTTATAATTTATCTAAAATTATCCAAATTATATCGTACAATTTACGAAGTTTTCATCTTTTTTGAATCAAATTTACGGACCTTTTTCCAAAAAAAAAACGGACTTTTACGGACTTCAAGCAAAGTTACGGACTTTTATGGAATTTAGGGACCTAGTTCGAGCCCTGGGGTTTTAACGGTCGCTGTTTACAAAACTGATGTGTATTTTTCAAAATTATAAGTTGTGAATCTAATATAGCAGAAGGAATTTTTAAAAAATCATTGGATGTACTTGCAATCCGTTAATAGTGGGTATTCGAGATTGATATAGTCAAATTACAGAAAAAATTGTCCATGGATTCGCGAAACAGCCATCACCAAAACTGCCCATAATAACCCGGAGTATTAATTTTCAAGAACTTTGCTCATTTTTTCGAAATTTTGTAGTTTTAAAAACGACATCTGATTTGTAATCAGCGAACCAAAAATTCCTTATCTTACTATTTTTTTAAATTAATAATTTACATACATTCTATATGTCCAGAGACGTTTTAATATCTCCTAAGGATCGCATTTTTGAAAAAAAAATGAATGCAAAAATTTAGTGTAAAAAATCTATCGAGTTGAATAGCGCTATAAAAAAGAACCTACAAATTCTCCGAATTGCGTATATGGGTTTACTACCTGAACGTAAGACTGCTCCGTCCTTTTTTCTTCCTTCTCTTTCCCTTCGGCTGTTGAGAGGAGCCCGAACTAGAGATAAGGTCTTCATAATATATAATATTATATTATATTTCCCTTTAAACAATTCTAATCTTCCTTTGTGTTAATAACCAAAGAATTGCCTAAATTATTGACCTATAAGAAAAACACAAACAAACGATATTTTCAATAACAAAATGTCAAACTAAGATAACTAAAATAACTAAAATTATAAAGAATCTTCAATTAAGAGTAAGTCTATAAGGGGTGTGACATATATTAAAAACGTACGAAAGAGGTCATTCAAAAAATAAGGTAAAAATGGCGATAATATCTGCAACATCTCATTAAGTAGGGGAGGGGGATTAAAATTTCAAATGAAGAAACTTTTTAACTGGATTCAAATGTAATTATTACTCCTCCCCCTATAGTCACTGCATTTTAGAAGAAGAAATTGAAGCGTACTCAAGTAAAGAAATTAAAAAGGGCCTATACGCAATTCGGAAAAAATTGCCCAAGCTACTCAACTCGGTATCAGCTTTTTCAAGAATGCGATTCGGCTACTGATTTATCTAGTATTAATGACGAATAATTGACTTGATGTTTACCGTAAAGAAGAACTTTTATAAAAGTAAATATATTATTATAAATAATTTAGTATTTTTAAAAATTTGAAATATGTTATCCACACACTACAAACCTTCGAAACTTTTTTTTCCTGCCTGTTTACAAGTGGTCAAGGAAGATGTGTCGAAAAATCTGCTGGAGACGCGCGCCATATCGTAAATGAAGATACATAGATTGAATCACCTGGAACCTAAACAGAAAAAAGGAAACTATTCTCACCTTTTATGTGTTGAAATGTTTAAGATAGGATCAAAATCTTAATCCACTTAATAATGTAATAAATTCAACTTTAGCAACTCATTGATAAATATATTATTATAGTAATTATTATTACTATTAACAGAATTGTGGAAAAACAAGGAACATGAAAGTGGACACGTTAACTGAGAAGTTTACGTCCATCATGGTTTAAGAGTTAACTAGGCAAAGATTTCATAGAAGAGAAGGTTTAATAAATTTATTTATTTATGAAAATACATGGGTTTACAGAAAAGTTACCCTTTATAAGGATTAAACACATGTTTAGAAAGCTTAAAACCTAAATTAAAAAGTATAGAAGAGCACAATAGTGGTCACTTAAGTGCAAGTTAAAAATTGTCATGACCACCATCAAAGAATGTCAAACGATAAATGGTCATCTTGAATTAAAGACTCTATCAAACGGGAATGTCGCCAAAGTCCCCAAATGCCATTGTCCCCCAATATATTTCAAACATCCTCAATTACATTAAAATTTTCTAACCTCACTTTGAACGCTACATATTTATAACTAGTAGTCAAGGTAGTGACATTAAATAAATGTTGCCTCTCGACTTTTCTTATGTGAAAATTCATTAATAAGATCTGAGAAATCTAGTGTTTCGAGTATATAGTTTTCAATGGAGAAGATTGCAAGACAGTTTAATCTATCATCAATCATATTCGAACGCAAATACGTTTTTATAAATTTCAGCTTCGAAAATCTTCGTTTAGTAGATGCAGCAGAAACAGGCGTTGTTAACAAAATTCGTAATGCAACGTACATAAGTTAGGGAAATTGTCCAGGGTTACCACAAATATTCAATTTTATTTTTCCCTGATTTCCAGACAAAATCTTTATGATTCACTCTAAAAATTATTAGATACTCAAAAAAACATTCTATTACATTTACTTACAAATTTCTTTAATTGTAAAATTATTCAAAAATATCAATAACTTCTTTTTAAAATAAATATTTAATCATTATTATTTTTACGTAGGAATTAAAATTCTTCAAAACATTCAAATTCAAATCTTTTTGAAATTCAACAATTTATAAGAATATTATTACAAAACATGAAGAAGGCGATCACTCCGAGTGATCTAGAATTTAATCCAGAATTTAATTATTTTTACAAGTAGTAAAATTTCTCAAAAAAATTCAATTAATTTTAAAAAATGTAATAAAATTCGTTGCAAGAATTCAATTATTTTCATAAATAATAAATCGATAAATTGATAATTCATTTTTAAATTAATTTTTATTAGAAAATTCTAGAAGAATTCAATTATTTAAATTAAAAAATAAATAATTTATTAAATAATTAAATGTTTGTTAAAATTGAATTCTCATAATGAATTTTATCAACAAATTTTTAAATAATTGAATTCTTTTGACAAATTTTAATAAAATTTTTAAGAATAATTGCATTTTTCGAGGAATTTGATTAAAATTATATAAAAAATAATCAAAACTTAGCGATGAGTTTTATTATTTATGAAAATTAACCAAATTTTAACCAAGAATTTTATTAAAATTTTCTAGTATAATTGAATTTCGGACAAGAATTTTATTATTTATAAAGGTACTAGAAATTTTGATAAGAATTTTTTTTTTAATTTTTAAACATAATTGAATTTCTGCGAAGCATTTTATTACTTTTGGAAACAATTTAATTCTTCAAACGCATTTTATTCAATTTTATAAAAATAACTGAATTTTTGTGAAGAATTTTATTATTTATATAAATAATTGAATTTTTGCAACGAATTTTATTCAAGTTTATAAAAATAATTGAATTCTTGCAATGAATTTTATAAAAATCTTTTTAAATAATTGATATTTTTCAAAAAAATGTATGGAATTTTGTATTTTAAATACACTGAAACCCCACTTATTTGAACATGGTCCACGCAATTCGACACGAAGTGTCGCGTTTATTTGTATTTTGATCGACATAACCTATTTTGATGACGTAATTCGATAAATTGACATGATTGGTTGGTTTTGTTTGAACTCAACCAATGGGAATGTAAGTATCTTTCCATTGGTCGCGTACTGCGCATGAGCTAAAATAAGTGAGGTTAGGGCTGATTCTAACTATATACAAATAACTGAAGCAAAAACGGGTTCAAATAAACGCGACTTTAAGTAAATGAGACTTTAAATAAGTGGGGTTTCAGTGTAATTGAATTCTTGTGAAAATTTTATTAATTATGAAAATAATTGAATTATTTCGAAGAAATTTATTAAAAATTGAATAATTGAATTCCTGTGAAATTTTGCCAAGAAGTTTATTAAAATTTTTGAAAAATAATTGAATTTTGAAGAAGAATTTTATTATTTATAAAGATAATTGAAATTTTGACGAGAATTTTTTTAAATTTTTAAACATAATAGAAATTTTGCGAAGAATTTCTATAGCTTTGGAAAATAATTGAATTTCTGGAATCATTTGTAACCTTTTCAAAATTCAATTTTTTTTAGTAGGGGAGAGGGCCCTAAGGTGGTCACCCATCTTTTGAACGACTGTAGATTTCAAATGGAATTATATATAAAGGTCAATAATACGGCGTTTGAAACTTTATCTTATTACCTAACTTCCTATCATAAAATTTTTTTTTATTTCATTAATAAAAAAAAAGTTATGGCACTTTTTAAAAAAAGTTGAAAATTCGACTTTTAAAAAAGTGGCCCCAAGGTGGTCACCATACAAAAATTCACTAAAAAAGTTTTAAAAAAATGTAAAAAACGTATTACTAAGTTGTTTATTTAATATTAATTGTTTTTCAGGATCACAGAAACATATTACATATTTTTTTTGCACTTTGTCCTTTCGTAAAAAATGATACTTTTTGTGTATGTATTAGATAGGTAAAATTTTGAAAATAATTCTATTTTATTATTATTCATCATAAAACTTAAAAATTGATAAAATTCACATTCACAGTGATAAATGTTGATAAATGTGGCGTATAAACACATTTTCATAAAAAATCAAAAGTGACCACCTTGTGGCCAAAAAAGTGTCCACCTTATGGCCAAGACACAATTTTTTAAACGTTAATGAAAAAATTTGTTAAAGCACAATATTAATTATATTCATTTGGAATATTATTGTACGATATATAAAGATAATCATAACGATTTTTACTAATTTAAAATGGTTAATTTCAATGATTTTAACACCCTGAGAAAAAAATTTCTCGATCATTTAAAAACAGAAATTTTACGACGTTCACGTTACAAAGAGACTCATACGACTATTTACCTCAAAACTTTACTAAAATCTTTGTCTTCTCAAATAATAACAATAACAAAAAACATTTGAAGATACTAACTAATATACAAAAATTTTCTTAGGGTGACCACCTTAGGGCCCTGACCACCTTGGGGCCCTCTCCCCTACTTTTAACTACAATTCTTCTATCAATCTGGTATTTATGAAAATTGTAAAAATTATTCATTAAATAATTTTTAAGTAATAATTTTATGATAGTTCTTGAAAAATTAAGTTATTTGAAAATAAATTATTGTAAGTTATAGAAAAAATTGAAGGTTCTGTGTTAAAATTCGTTGTAATTTCATAGTTTACGAGTCAAATCAAGAAAACATCAAAATGCAGAGTTTTCTCATGAATTTTAAAAATTTAATTTTTTCCAGTACTTTTGCTAAAAATTTCTAACTTTTCCCTGACCAATTTTACTTTCCCTGACTTCCCTGACCTGTGGCAACCCTGTTGTCTGTTTAATTATTTTTTGTAATAAAATTTGAAACATATAACGATGTTGTATCAGTTTCTGGTGGTATGTATTTTAAGTGTTCTAAATGACATTAACGATCTACGCCGTGATATCACTTTCACTATTATGAGTTAATTTGTCTTCTAATTCAAGACAATATTCTCGGTACCCTTCAGGAATTTGTTTTAAATTATACAAAAATGACCAAACGCTATTATATTCTTGCAATTGTTCAAATCGTTCTCTAATTGACTGGCTCGCAATATCCATAATCACGTAAAAGAAATTTATCTTAAAACTTTTTTCTGGATTATCATAATTGAAACTGGTTCTACTTGCAATGTTTCTGTAATTTCTTTAGGTACAAGCGCCGAAACTCCTGTAGAAAGGAGAAAGTTAAATTTGAGGAATGGAAAGCTTTAACCGTAGAATTTAGAGTAGCAGTTATTGCGGCATTCAGGGTTTCTTAACTCTTGCAAGCCGAGAATATGTGTTATAAGTTTATCTCATTTGACCTGATTTTTTTTACAAATTTTCGCTTGGAATAAATTGTTATACCGCGCATTGTTTAGACCTACAATGTACACTCATTATCTCGCTCAATTCTTAATATTTTTTAATTAAAATTTAGAGAAATATTGTTCAAATGTTACAATATTATATGCAAAGCGATAAAATAAATTAACTTTTTGCGTATCGCCAAAAAAAATTCCTAAAAACATGCTTTTTTCACCGTTAAAACATTACCCCCTCCCCCTTAAAAATAAATATCAACCGCTTTTTTTATATTTCTTAAAGAGTTTCCTCATTTTTTAAATATTTTGTAATATCTGTCAATGTAACCTTTTTCATGTACTCTCAATTTAAAACATCTTTTTTATATAAAATGTAATTATTTTTTTAAACATCATCATGCATTTCGTCATCCCAAAACAGATAAGAATATTTTCCCAAAGTATTGAAATTTTTTTATAAAGGTAAAATATACATTAGGCGAAATAAAATGGTTGACCCTGTATTGTTATTTATTGACCCTTTATGTTTTTGTATCACTCTTCACCTTACAATTTAAAATCCAAAAATAATTTTACCATTGATAACTAGTGAAAAGCCGTAAAAAATGGAAATTCAGTCAATTTTAGTTTTCCCTAAAGTGCATTTAGTGAATTCTAGTTTGACGGTAACATATATATGACTTGATCCAGAAAAAGGGGGTTACGTGCGAAAAGAAGTTTTCGAGAAAACAGCTGTTAAAGTTAAACAACTTGTTTCATCAGTTTCTCGTTAGGCGTTATTTACTTAATTTCTTACTCGGGGATTTTCTGGTGTTGCTGATTACAAATCCGATTTCTGATTTTAAAAATTCAAAATGACGGATCCAATATGGCGCACATATTTTTTTAAAATCAAACGGTTTTGTTTGAAAATCATTAGTCGGGAGTTTTTGGAGTCGCTGATTACGAATCTTGTGTCGATCTTCTCAAAAACCCCACTTTTTTTCTTTCTAATTTTTACCATAAATTCTCATCAATATAAAGAACAAATCCTATAATTTTCAAGCGGGCTAAACCATCCTGTCAGCCAGGAGAATTTTTTTTGAAATATTTCTTTTTATAAAATTTGAAATTGTTTACGTGCATTTTGAAGAACAAATGAACGAACTGAAGTCAGTCATTTTATAACCAATAATAATAAATGCATGGAAAACAACCGCAATAAAAAACAAATAATTCTTTAAAAATAAGAAAAAGTAATAATAACAATAGTAATAAGACCATTCAAATCAATGATTTTAATTTATATAAAATTAATTGTCTTCAATTTTAAATTATTTAATTTATATTAATATTAAATTTACAAACATTAATTTCCAAATTAAAAACTTAAATTTAAATTAACCATAATTATATATGTGGTATTTTTTATCAATTACAATCTTTATTTTATTAACTTAAAGTTTCAGTCTTTTCGAAATATTTTTGAATGATAATTTGAATTGGCATACAAATTTTAAGAGTATTCCGCTAAAAGAATTACGATATTTATGAAAAGATATATATCTGTCTTTTTCAACCTTGTGTCTAACGACACTTAAATTGTATCGAATTTTAATTGTATTGATGTTGAAAACCTTTGAAAAAATTTATTTTGCTGTTATTTTTCATGTATATTAATTATTATTGGTTAGAAAATGATTGACTTCAGTTCGTTCATTTGTTCTTCAAAATGCACGTAAACAATTTCAAATTTTATAAAAAGAAATATTTCAAAAAAAATTCTCCTGGCTGACAGGATGGTTTAGCCCGCTTGAAAATTATAGGATTTGTTCTTTATATTGATGAGAATTTTAATGGTAAAAATTAGAAAGAAAAAAAGTGGGGTTTTACAAATTTCAAATTGGATTTTGAAGAGGACTAGCTTTGTTCGTCTTGAAAAACTAAAAAAAAACTTTTATGTATTAAATCACTCAAACACCCCCAAATTTAAATTTTAGAGATAAAAATTGCTTTTCGAAGTTAATGTAATAAAATAGCTAGACCAAAAATAGTCATTTTTGGTCCAAACTTAATGACTTTTTTCATTTTAAAGCTGAAGAAAAGGCTTTTAACTCTAACAAATGTTTTATGTTCAGGGTTCTCACAAAAATTTAATTTTGTTTTTCCCAGACTTTTCCCTGATTTCCAGACATATCGAAGACTTGCAGCCATCGATATCTTCATGTTTTCTAATAATTATAAATGACCGAGTGATAAAATCATTATTTTATATTATAGGAATATTGTACTTCTTCAAAATTATTTTCATCATTTCATATTCAATTATTATTTTCTACAATTTTTAACTAAAATTCTTCTCTCAATTAACTATTTTTAATAATTTTTGAAAAAGTTCTTTGAGAATTTTCAAGTTTATTTGGTTACAATTTAATTTTACAAAATTTCGATTATTTGGAAATTCTTCAATTAAATATAAATCAGAAAATAAAAACCTGGAATAATTTTGAAAAATTTTGATTAAGCTTTTTGAAAAAATTAGTTTCATAGAATTTTTAATAAAAAGTATGAAAAATTCAGGTTTTCAAAGATTTTAATTTGAAACCTTTACGAAATTTAATTATTTCTAAAAATTGCAATTATTATTAACTTCTTCAAAATTCAATTATTATCTAAAACTTTAACTGAAATTATTATAAATCAATTTTTATTAAAAAATTTTACTAGAATTCGATTATTTAAAAAAAACATAGATAATTTATTGAATAATCGAATATTTTTTTAAATTGTATTCTTATACATAATTTTATCATCTAATATTTAAATAATTAAATTTTTTCGACGAATTTAAATAAAAATTTTAAGATTAATTAAATTCTTTCGACGTATTTTAATAAAAATTTTGAGAATAATTACATTTTTCGAGGAATTCGATTAAAATATTGTTTAAAAAATAATCTAAATTCTGTAATGAATTTTATTATTTATGAAAATAATTGTATTACTACGAAGAATTTTATAAAAAAGTTTCCACAATTGATTTTTTCAAAAAAAATTTATGCAAATTTTATTTTTAAGAACTGAATTTCCATGGAATTTTAATTATTTTAGAAAATAATTGAATATTCGTGTAGAATTTTATCGAAATTGTTTTTAAATAATTTAATTCTTGTGGGAAATATTATTAAAATAGTAGAATATTGAAAATTATTGAATTAAGAATTTTGCTGTTTATAAAGATAATTGATATGTTGAGAATTTTTAAAAAAAATTTTGATAATAATTATTGAATTCTTGCGATGAATATTGTTATTTATGAAAATAATTTACTTCCTTTGAACGATTTTATTATTTTTGAAAATAATTAAATCCCTGAAAAGAATTTTTAAATTTATAAAAATAATTGAATTACTGCGAAGAATTTAATGCCAAACTTTGAAACATTTGATTTTTTCGAAAAAAAAATTATACAAATTCTATTTTAAATAATTGAATTCCTCTGAGATTTTTATTTCTTTGGAAAATAATTGAATTCGTGTAGAATATTATTAAAATTTTTGTTTAATAATTGAATTCTTTTGGGAAATTTTATTAAAACAGTAGAATATTGAAAATCATTGAATTAAAGAAAATTTTTGATAATTGAAATTTTGCCATGAATTTTATGAAAATTTTTGAAAATCATTGAATTAAAGAAAATTTTTGATAATTGAAATTTTGCCATGAATTTTATGAAAATTTTTGAAAATCATTGAATTAAAGAAAATTTTTGATAATTGAAATTTTGCCATGAATTTTATGAAAATTTTTGAAAATCATTGAATTTTATTAGTTTTGAGAATAATTGTATTTCTGGAAAGAATTTTAACATTTATTAAGAAAGTTAAATTCTTTCAAAGAATTGCGTTAAAATTTTCAAAATTGAAACTAATTTCAACAGAATTGAAATTAAAAGTTTTCAAATAATGATTTATAAGTTATTTCTTATAAATCATTAAATGAAGTATTTTTTATTATAACTTTATGGCAGTTCTTCAATAGAATTAAGTTATTTAATAGAAATTATTGTCAGAAATAAAATAAATTAGTTGAAGGTATTTTCAGAATTCGTGGTAATTTCATAGTTTATAAGCCAAACAAAAAGACACAAAAATTCAGAATTTTCTTATAATTTCTAAACATTTAATTCTTTCCAGGACTTTTAATAAAAATCCTTGAGTTTCCCCTGATATCTCTGACCTGTGGCAACACTGCTAATATTTTTTTTAAATTTTTCTAAACGAAAAAGTTAGAATAGCTCCAATTTAAAGTAATTATATATTTTGTAATACTTTGTACTTATGTCCCTTATTCGTTGGCAGTGTAAATATATTCATTTGATATGCAAAAACTTTCAAATTCAAAGATAATATTTCTGGCTATTACCATGGCAACTCGACAATTGAAACCGTCTCGGTAATTGGTTCCTTCACCCCATCACTGAATTCGTTTACTCGAATTTTCATACATTAAAAAAAAAATCTCTCTCTTTAACATATCCAGCATACAGTGTTAATAAAGATCCATTATTACATGGTAAGCAAATGAGATTAGTTCACTTTTAGTATTTAGTGAAAGAAAGAAAAAGAAACCGACCTTTTACCTATAAATATTTAAAGCAGAAATTTCATTAAATTAAAGTATAATTTTCCTGCAAATTAAACTAATTAGAAATACTCAATAAATTAATTTTCAAGAATAGTGCCAGCGTTTTTCAGAGAGCAAAAGCGGCAGTGTGTTGATATAAAATGATAAAAAAATTACCTCTTTACGTAGTAGAAATGTTGATGAATTTTTCACATTCCTCAATAATTAAACTATCGTTATAAGATACGTTATGAATTAAAAACATATTATTCCTTTAGAAAAATTGATTCGATTCTATACTTGTGCTCATTAAAATCCAAAAATTATCGAGGATATTATTTTTGTTCCATGAAAGCTTATGCTATATGAACTTGAGAACACCAACGATCGTCATGCCATCTTCAGATGATGCGCTCAATTATCCAAATCACGTGACCCTCCGTATTCTGTACAAATAAAGATGTATGAATTAAAAAGTATAATTTTAATTTTATATATTATAAAAAACAACAAAGAAATTCGTTAATTCAACTGAAACTTTTGCTGTTTCAGTGAAATGTTTATATATTACTTATTAATAGAGAACGAGAATACCGAATTTATTAAAGTCGAAGTGAGGTTAGATTATATACATACAGAAAAATTTCTAATCAATTACAGATTAATATTTTAGAATAATTAATAACCTGAGAACCAGAATTGGTAATGCGTGTGTCATTTTCAAAATTTGTATTTTTATTTTCTTTCTATATTTTTGTATAATATAAGTAGTATAATAATTATTAAATTTTTAAAAACTAAAAAATTGAACATAAACAAAATTCACAGAGTATGAATAGATATGCAACTCACTTTAGTTTCTTGCCTCGGTTAAGCGCCTCAAGTGACAGAACTTCGAGATTTAAACAAAAAATAATGGATCGTCTACAATTATTATTATACTAGCGCAAATGTTACGCGCGGAACGAGATATTCAATTTCTTATTATTTAAATTCTTATTATGCAAAAAATAAAATTTTCAATTTTCAATTATAAATTTTTGAAAAATTTCATAATCAAAATTTTAAAAAATTCACATATTAAGTAAAAAACTAATTATTATTGTTTATATTTTCAAAAATTGAAATATAATTCTTCGCAAGAATAAAATTATTTTCATAAATAATAACATTCTTCGTAAGAATTTAATTATTTTTGTAAATAGTACCAAAAATTTTTTTAAAAATTTTTAATAAAATTTCACAAAAGAATTCAATTTTTTTCTTTACTTCGTTATAAAATTTTTCAAAAGAATTCAATTATTTTCTAAAATTTTAATAAATCTTTTACAATTCAATTATTTTTTTAAATAATTAATCTTTGCAAAAATTCAATTATTTTTAATAAAATTTCACAAAAGAATTCAATTTTTTTCTTAATTCGTTATAAAATTTTCCATAAGAATTCAATTATTATCTAAAATCTTAAAAATCCTTTGAAACAAATCAATTATTTTTAATGCAATTTTAAAAATATTTCATGAAAAAATTCAATTTTTTTTTATTTTTAAGAAAATTTTACAAAAGAATTAAATTATTTTTAAAAAATTTAATTAATCTTTCACATTTCAATTTTTTTTTAATTTATTATAAAATTTTTCATAAGAATTGAATTATTTTCTAAAATTTTAATAAATCCTTGAAAACAATTCAATTAATTTTTTTAAATAGTATAATCTTTGCAAAAATTCAATTATTTTCTAAAATTTTAATAAATCCTTCGAAAAAATTCAATTATTTTCTAAAATTTCAATGAATCCTTCGAAACAATTCGATTATTTAAAATTGGCATTAAAATTATTTTTGACAATTGTAATAAAATTTTAAAAAGATGTTAATTATTTTCTAAAAATTTTAATAAAAATTTAATTAATTAAACAAATCATAATAATAATAATAATAATAATAATAATAATAATAATAATAATAATAATAATAATAATAATAATAATAATAATATATTAATTTTTTATTTTAATTTCAATTATTAAGAAACACGATTATTTAAAAATCTTGAAAGAAATTGTTTATAAAATTCAATTACTGTAAATATTTTCAATTAAAATTATTAAAGAAACTCTATTATTTTAAATAAATTGAAAGATATTTTTCTAAAGAATTTAATTAGAATTTTCTAAAATTTTAATAAAACTTTACGCAAAAATTCAATTATTTCCATAAATAATAAAATTCTTCAAAGAAATCCAATTATTCTTAAATTTTTTGATAAAATTCTTTGCAAGAATTCAATTATTTTCATAAATAATAAAATTCCTCGAAGAAATTCAATTATTCTTCAATTTTTTTGAAAAAATTCTTTTATCAAGAATTCAATGATTTTCAATATATTCATTTTAAAATTGTCTTTACATTTTTTTCATAAAAAATTTTTCACATGGTTTTACATTGAAAGTATTTTGAAATTTTAAGCAAGGAAAGAACAATAAGTATTTAAATATTTATTTTACAAAAATGATTGAAATTTGAAAGATTTAATTTGGAAATTCTGAAAAAATTAGGTTTTTGAAAATTACCTAGTAATTAAAATTTTTTTAAAAGATACACTTGAATTCTCGAAAATAATTTTAAAAAAATTGAAACAATTGGAAATTTTTTAAAATTTTATATTTTAAAGAATTTTATTTTTTCATTTTTAAAAATTATTTTAAAATACATTATTTTATGAATTTACAAAAATTATTCTATTTAAATAATTCAATTGTCCTAGTAGAATTCTAAAAGGAATTGATTTCAAAAAAATTTCAGTTAAAATATTAAAAAATAATTTAATATTTAAAGCGTTATAACAGAAATTTTAGAAATGAATTAAATTTTAAGAGATTTTTAAACTATAAATTCTTTGAAAATTAAAGTGAAGGAAGAGTATAAAAATATTTCAATATTTATTTTAAAAAATGATTATTATACATTATTTTTCTTTAAAAATTCTTAAAGTTTTGAATAATTTATTATTTATTTAAAAATTCTGAAAAAAATAATTGAATTTTGGAAGAATTAAGTAGCAATTTTTAGAAATAATTCAATTTCAAAGGGTGTAAAAAAATTAATAAGAATAAGTATTTAATTTTTTGTTTAACAAAAAGTATTAAAGTTTTGAATAATTTAATTTAGAAATTCCGAAAAAATTTGTTTCTTGAAAAAATGTAATTAAAATTTTTTAAAAATAATTCTATTTCCGAAAATTATTTTAAAAAATTTTAAACAATTAAAAAATTTTGTCAAATTCCATTGAAATAAATTTGATATTTTAATGAATTGAAACAGCGTTTTGCGTTGCGTTTTGTAACTAGGCCATGAGTGCAAATATAGCAAACATGTATCTGTATCTCTCTCACACTCATGGTCTAGTTACAAAACGCAACGCAAAACGCTGCCATGGGACTCCAGCCTTATTGAAAATTTGGAAAATAATTGAATTTAAAAAAAAGATATATTTCGTCTATTGTGGACTCACCCTTATACATTCCATTTCTCGAAATTCGAATCAATTGTGCACAGACCTTTATATCCTCTCTCTCTTGACAGCTGTTTCCCAACTTTGAATCCGCAACTGTGACGTTTGTCCACGTTTATCAACTCAAAACCACGTGACACGTCAGTTCCTTATATTATTATAATCAAAAACTATTCAAATTTTTAAGTCAAAAGAAAAGTGGAGTTAAAAAATTTGATTAAATATGGAAACTTTATATCATCAGACGAATAAAGTTGTCCAAGAAACGCAACACTTGTTTATGCAATTAGAAAGAAATTTGCTGAATGCAAACTCTCAGGATGTGGAAAACGATATTGAAACAAAGATTAACCTTATTAATAGGTAATTGTTATGAGTTGTCTGCTATATTGTACACAATAGAGAACAATCTTATTTCATTTATTTTCTTATTAGTTTCATATTTTTATTCTATTTTTCCTATTCTTAAAAACATTTTAATTATTAATTTATCAAAAGCTTTGTATTATTGTACCCACTTGCTACAATAAGGTATTTCTCTCAATTTCGTCATACTTGAAAAAAGTAATAAATAGTAACAAATTGTTACATTTAAATGATTGTAGATTTAAAGTTAAATAAGGAAAACCGTTAAATAATTTTTATAAGTTAAAAATACGGTTATTTTTATGTATTTTATAAAAAAAATTGTACATATTTTTTTATTTTAATACTATGTTTCAAAAATGTTATATTTTCTGTAACTTTTATAAACATATTGTTCACAAATTGATTCTTTTCTTTTGGAAAAAAAACATTCCAGTTTCTTAATATTTTTGTAGAAAATTCTCAATTTTCTTAAGGAAATAATTTCCATCATTTCTATTTCCTAATTACAATTGTTTTAATAAAATTCAAAGTTTTTTTTAAAATAAAGGAAAAAAATGTTTATAAATTCTATTTGTCAATTACAAATTTTAATTGAAAATTTTTGAATTATTAGAAAATAAAGGAAAAATTTTTACTTAAAAAAATGTTGTTACATTTATTTACGAATTTCTTTAATTGTAAAATTATTTTAATACAATAACTTCTTTTCTAAATAAATATTTAATCAATATTACTTTTCCGTAGAAATTAAAATTGTCCAAAACATTCAAATTCAAACCTTTTTGCAATTAAACAACTTATAAAAAATTGTTATAAACATGAAGATATCGATTGATCCGAGTCTTCGACTCGGAGCAATCAATATCTTCATGTTTTATAACTATTAATTAAAGGTGACCGAGTGTAAAATCATTACATATTTTATATTATAGGAATATTGTACTTCTTTAAAACTATTTTCATCATTTCTATTCAATTATTATTTTCTAGAATTTTCAACTAAAATCCTTTCTGAGTCAACTATTTTTAATAATAAATTTTTGTAAAAGTTCTTTAAGAATTTTCAAATTCATTTGTTTACAATTCAATTTTATGAAATTTCGATTATTCGTAATTTTTCATTTAAATATTATATTATAAATTAAACACTTCAAATAATTTTTTAAAAAAATTCAATTAAACTCTTTCAAAAAAATTAATTCTACAGAATTGTTAGTTAGCAGAATAAAAAATTCAAATTTTCAAAGATTTTAATTTGAAACCTTTTCAAGATTCAATTATTTCTAAAAATTCACGCTAAATAATGCTTTTAATATTTAATTATTATCTAAAATTTAAAGTAAAGTTGATTTTTAAATCAATTTTTATTAGAAAATTCTACGACTATTCCATTATTTAAGTACAAAAAAAAATAATTTATCAAATAATTAAATGTTTCTTAAAATTAAATTCTTTTGAAGAATATTGTCATCAAATTTTCAAATAATTGGATTCATTTGACGAATTTTAATAAATTTTTTATGAATAATTACATTTTCTGAGGAATTTAATTAAAATGGTATTAAAACAGGGTTGCCACAGATCAGGGAAATCAGGGAATTCAGGGAAAGTAAAATTGGTCAGGGAAGTCAGGGAAAAGTCAGGGATTTTTATTTAAGTAACTGGAAGAAATTGAATTTTGGAGAAGTTACAAATGATTGCAGAAATTCAATTATTTTCAAAAGTAATAAAATTCTTCGCAAAATTCAATTATGTTCAAAAATTAAAAAAAACATTCTCGTCAAAATTCAATTATCTTTAAAAATAATAAAATTCTTCTCCAAATTTCAATTATTTTCAAAAATTTTAATAAAATTCTTTGCAAAATTTCATTTATTTTCAAAAAGTTTTTCTCAATTAAATGATTTTCAATATCTACAGTTTTAAGCCCAGAGGCGCTCACTGCTACCTGACTGTTATTATCCCTTTCGACCGCGCGCACTTGCTGTTATTGCACGCGCGGGCTCAATTATTGTTGATGCAATTTTAATTGAATTCCTCGAAAAATGTAATTATTCTTGAAAATTTTATTAAAATTTCTCGAAAAAATTCAAGTTTATTGATAAAATTCTTTATGATAATTTAGTTTCGAAAAACATTCATTTATTCAATAAATTATTTATTTTTGTATTTAAATAATTAAATTCTTGTAGAATTTTCCAATGAAAATTGATTTAAAAATTAATATTAGTTAAAATATTAGATAATAATTGAATATTAAAAACATTATAGCATGAATTTTTAAAAATACATAATTGAATTCTTTTGAAGAATTTTAACAAAATTTTTGAAAATAGTTACATTTTTCGAAGAATTTACTTAAAATTGTATTAAAAATAATTGAAATCCTGTGAAGAATTTTATTAATTTATGAAAGTAATTGAATTCTTGCAATGAATTTTAAAAAATTTTTTTTTTAAATAATTGAAATAATGTAAAGAATCTTAATATATTTATGGAAATAATTTAATTCCTACATCGAATTTTATTACATTTTTTTAAATAATTGAATTCTTTTGAGAACTTTTATTAAAAAAGTAGATTGTAAAAATATTTGAATTTCAACGAAGAATTTCATTATATTCGTGAAATGTAATTAAATTCTTACAAAATATTTAAGAGAATAATTCCATTTTTCTAGGAATTTACTTTAAATTGTATTATAAATAATTGAAATCCGCAGAAAAATTTTATAATTTACGAAAATAGTGGAATTCTTACAACGAATTTTATCAATTTTTTTTAAATAATTAAATTTATGTGAAAAATTTTATTACTTGTAAAAATAATTGAATTTATGCAACGAATTTTATTACATTTTATTTAAATAATTATATTCTTTTGAAAACTTGTATTAAATTTCAGGGCCGGATTTATGTATAAGCAAAATAAGCAGTTGCCCCGGCTTGCCGGGGGCCCCCAAATTTTTCCAAGATTTTATTTTTTTTAAATTAAAAAAAATTTAATTTTTAAATTTTGCAGTGGTGCTAAAGAAAATGTAAAAAAATGTTCTTTAAATTTATTATATAAAAATTAAATTTCTTTCATAAAAGTAAAAGAATGTTTATAAATATATTATTTTATAACGAAATTGAAATACATATACAGTGCCGCTCAATAACTTTTGCCCACCCTACAGCGTTTAACACTTTACAGAAAGTTTTATATTTTGTTTATTATTAAAGATAAAAAGCTCAAAAAAGGTCTCTTTTTAAAGTTCTTTTCCTGAGCTTTAACACTGTATAAAACAAAAATTAAAAAAATTAATTTGTTAATATTTAAAAAAAAGGTTATTGCAACATAAAATTTTTCAATTTTTTTTGGTTTTTTTAAAGCGATACACTCAGAATATATGATTATTATAGTTATAATAATATTAAAACTGTATTCCAAATCATGTTTTATTTTTATGAAAAAAAATGTGAATTAGAAATATTGAAATTTTAATATTTTGAATTTGAAAATTGCTAATTTTATTTAAAAAAGTAAGTAAGAAATTAGCTGCGCGCAAATTGTTGCCAGTAATAATTTAATAATCTACTGTCATTATTCACCCCGCAAGGGTGCGAAATAGTCACAGCTTTTAGTAAAAAACATTTTTTCAAATATGTAAGTGAGAAAAATACCCTCACACAATAGTGAATTTTAATGTTAATTTAATAATTAAATAAACTTTTTTCTAGAAATTTTAAACATTATGTTTTTGCTCATATTGATACCTTAAAAATTGTAAAAATAATTTTTATAACACCACATTTCAACAAATTTTTGTTCATTTTACATGTTGCATGTGTTGAATAACTATAATTATAATATATAGAAATTTTTACAATTTTAAATTTACTAAAATTCACCATTTATCTTAAAAAGAAAATTATGAAATTGGTGTTACATTATTACCTACTAATTTTTTTTTACTAAAAATGGTTAAAAGAATCGCAAAAAATGCTCAAATATGTGCAATGTTTTAGTCTAAACGATTTTTTTAAAACTTTAGTGAATCCCTTGAAACTCATTGCGAGGGGGTCGCTAATTACGAATATAAAGTGCAATTTTCAAAATTCAATATGACAAAAGAGTCACCATTTTGAATTTTGCATATTTTTCAATCGAATCCGCTGAATTTAAAAAAAATTCCGCCATATTGGATCCGCCATTTTGAATTTTTCAAATCAGACTTTATATTCGTTATCAGTGACACCAAAAACCCCGAAGTGACATCACTAAATTTAAAAAAAATTCACTTATATACAGTACCGTCCGAAATTGTCAGTCCACCCAGGGCCGTGGAGAGCCAGCACGGGCCCTGGGAAAATTAACATGGGCGGGGGCCCCATTAGTAGGATTAAAAAGCGTAAATTATACTTTTTTTAGTAAGATAATAAAAATAATAATTTTAATAATAATATAAGGTTTTTATTTGAATTCTTTCAAACATTACATTTTTATAAAAACTTTATTAAATATAATATTAAATATTATTAATTTTATGAAGATTATATTTCTAATATAAATTTTTAATTTATATTTTATTTGAACATTTCCATTAAAAAATTTAATCCGTTGCTAAAAGTATAGCCGTGTTTTCACTTGCTTTCGTTGTGCAGGAATGGGTAGTTGTCGGTTAGTTTATTTTAATTTTTGTTCGTTTGTCTTTTTATTATTACTCACCTATCTCTTGTTGCAAACTAGTTAAAAACGTACATTTTATGCAAAATTAAATATAATTTCTGCTAATATGGGACTGTACCCTAAAATTTGGTTTATACTAAATTTTTTTCCAAACCCCAGGCCCAACAAGAGGAGGACAGCAGGGGTAAAAGTCCCGGGCCCCGGTACTTTTACCCCTGCTGTACCCCCCTCTTGTCGGGCCTGAGTCCACTCATTTTTGAAGGAATGAAAAATTTTTTTAACATAAAATTCATGAAAACTAAAATTTTTTTTGGTTTATATTTTGAAAGAAGATAAAATTTTGAAAAGAATCAGACCTTACAGAAGTCATTTGGCCAACATTTGTAGAAGATATTCTTAAAAATCGTCGTTTTCAATGTTTTACAAAAATTTGAATAACTTCTAAAATAATGAACGCTTTTTAATAATCTTAGGCTTATTTTAAAGGTCATTTTCTACGGAATAAGAATTACTTATAGGCATTTACCTGTAATTTTTTACTTGGAATAAGCATGACGTCAAAGTTGGACAAAAAAATTGGAAAACTTGAAATAATATTATTAAAAGAAAAATAATTTTTGAAATTCAAACATATTTTTTTATTAAATTTTCTTGAAGAATCTACACCATATCATGTTTTATGTATGTTCTAGAATAGTTTTTAGTACAAAAAATTTATTTCAAATTTTTTTAATTTTTTTGTCCAACTTTGACGTCATGCTTATTCCAAGTAAAAAATTACAGGTATAAATACTAATTTATGTTAATTACAGGCCTATGAGTAATTCTTGTTCCGTAGAAAATGACCTTTAAAATAAACCTAAGATTATTAAAAAGCGTTCATTATTTTAGAAGTTATTCAAATTTTTGTAAAACATTGAAAATGACGATTTTTAAGAATATCTTCTATAAATGTTGGCCAAATGACTTCTGTGAGGTCTTATTCTTTTTAAAATTTTATCGTCTTTCAAAATATAATTACCAAAAAAAATTTGAGTTTTTATAAATTTTATGTTAAAAAATTTTTTTCATTCCTTCAAAAATGGATGGACTGACAATTTTGGCCGGTACTGTATTATAATTCACTTATTATTCTTATTAATAAGTACACTTATTAACGTTGAAAATACAAATACGATGCATATTTAAAAATATTAAAATTTTGATAATTGTTCCTACAGAAATTGCGAACGACTTGAAATTTTATGCATGAAAGGTCCAGTTTCACAAAGGCAGAATGCCAAAATGCGAGTGGACCAATTAAAATACGACAGTCGTCATCTAACAGCTGCATTAGTTTCATGGAGGAATCAAATTTTACGCCGACAACAGGACGAAGCAGAAAGAGAGGCACTATTGTCACGAAAATTTACTACAAACGATCACGTCGACATAATGATTGATCACAATATGCAACACAGCAATAGTTTAAATAACGCTTCACGTGGTGTTGATGATCTGATTTCTCATGGTTCTGGTATTTTAGATAATTTACGAAGTCAAAGAGTGACATTGAAGGGTGCCCACAAGAGGTTAATTGACATTGGAAACACTTTAGGTTTATCGAATACAACAATGAGATTGATAGAACAAAGAGCACGACAGGATGGCTTCATCTTGGTCGGTGGTATGCTCTTTACTTGCATTGTGATAGTTTTGGTTATTGTGTATCTCGCGTAGTTTAAATGACATGATGTTTTATATTCTTTATATTATTATATATGTATATTGTCCTTTGTAAAATTTTCAAAATTATCTCAAATGTACATGCCTATTATTATGTAGATTGTAATTTATTTATTATTTTTGTACATAGGGAACAAGTTTTCAATTTTACTTTTATTTATAGATTTCCTGTTTAGAGAAATGCATTTTAATTAACACCAAAAATATTACACAGAATATTACACATAAATGTCGATATTTTAATTTTTCACTATTTTGTTCTTTTGTACAAAAAAGTATTTATCCAATAAATGCTGAATCACAATTGTTTCATTATTATTTAAAGTAGCATAAAGTGAAATTTTTGAGACCTGTTTTTAGTTACAAAAACTTTTTATTTGAAGTTTAATGAAAATTGATTATTTTTTTAAAAAACGCAATTTTTCTTCTTAATTTGTTTTATCATTATAACTAGCATAACTTATAATATAATTATAATTATAATAATTATAACCATAACTTCCTTGAAATTGTTACTTTTAAAAGTTTTTCTTAATTTTGAAATTTAATGAAAATTCTTCATTTTTTAAAAAATATAATTTTTCTAACAGTTTTTCTTTAAATTTAAAAAAAATGAAGAATTATTTGAACAACTCGTGTAGAAATTCAATACTTTTTGTTAAACAAAACAGTAAAAACTTATTCTTGTTTATTTTTCCACAGGAATAAAAAATTTTAATAATTTCAATGAGAAACATTTTGAAATTTAATTATTTCTAAAAATTGCAACTGAAATTCTTCCAAAATTCAATTATGTTTTTAGAATTTTTGAATAAAATTATTCAAAGCTTTAAGAATTTTTAAAGAAAAATAATGTAATTAATAATTTTTTAAAATTTAAATATTTTTATACTTTTGCTTCTCTTAAATTTTCAAAGAATTTAATTAAAAAATCTTATAAAATTTAATTATTAATTCCTACAATTCCTGTTATAACGCTTTAAATATTCAATTCTTTCCTAAATTTTAAATGAAATTTTTTTAAAATCAATTTCTATCCGAATTCAACCATGAGAATAGAATTTTTTAAATAGAATAATTTTTGTATGTACTATTTTCAAAAATACAATTATATTTATAGATAATTTTTAAAGATGAGAAAATAAAATTCTTTAAAATGTTAAATTTATTTTAATAAAATCTTACAAAATTTCCAATTGTTACAATTTCTTTAAAATTATTTTCAGGAATTCAAGTATATCTTCAAAAAATTTTAATTACTATTTTTCAAAAACCTAATATTTTTCGAAATTTGCCAATTTAAAAACTTTTTAAAATATTTAATTATTTCTAAAAAATCCTAGTTTAACACTTAATTATTTTCTAAAGTTTTAACTGGAATCCATTTTTAAATCAATTCTTTTCAAAATTCAACTAAGAGAATTGAATTATTTAAATACAAAAATAAATAATTAAAAAAATAATTACCTAATTATTTTAACCCTTTCGTGCCCCCGGGGAATCCAGCGGTTGGATTTGCTTCCAAATTGGTACTCGGGGGTTTTCGGGGTCGCTGATTACGAATCCGATGAGAGTTTTGAAAAATTAAAAATGGCGGATCCAATATGGCGGACAAGATTTTTAAAAAATGCTTGAATTTGCTACAATATTGATACTCGGGGGTTTTTGGGGTCGCTGATTACGAATCCGATGTCAGTTTTTCAAAATTCAAAATGACGGATCTAATATGGCGGACAAGATTTTAAAAAATTACTTGAATTTGCGTCAATGTTGTTACTTGGCAGTTTTCGGGGTCGCTGATTGCGAATCAGAAGTCAAAATTAAGAAATTTTCAAAAATCAAAATGGCGGATCCAGTATGGCGGACAAGATTTCAAAAAATTGCCTGAATTTGCTTGAATATTGTTAATCGGGGGTTTTCGGGGTCGCTGATTACGAATCCGATGTCAGTTTTTCAAAATTCAAAATGGCGGATCCAATATGGCGGACAAGATTTTAAAAAATTGCTTGAACTTGCGTCAATATTGTTATTTAGGGGTTTTCAGGGTCGCTGATTGCGAATTAGAAGTTATATTTTTAAAATTTTTTAAATTCAAAATGGAGGATCTAATATGGCGGACAAGATTTCAAAAAATTTCTTGAATTTGATTCAATATTGTTACTTGGGCGTTTTCGGGTCCGCTGATTACGAATCCGATGTCAGTTTTTCAAAATCCAAAATGGCGGATCCAATATGGCGGACGAGATTTTCAAAACTTTGATTCAATTTGCTTTAAAACCGGTACTTGGGGGTTTTAAGGGTCACTGATTACGAATCTAATTTCAGTTTTTTAAAATCAAAATGTCGGATCAAATATAAAAGTTTTTGAGGTCGTTAAGTACGGAGAGAATTTTAGATTCAAATTTTATTAATATTTCAGATCCTAATTTTTATATAAAAAATAAATTATACAAAAAATTTAGAATAAAAATATGATCTGAAATTAGTTACAAAATTATACAAATGAATTTCGATACACCAGAATAGTGTACAATGGTACAAATAAAGAGTTTTATTAAAAATTATGAAAATTAATCTTTTCACTTGGCAATTTTTTGTGGATTTAAAAACATGTTTTTTACAAAATTGAGCATGGATTATTTTGTTTCTACTATTTTATCAATAAAACTTAAACTGACATCAGATTCGTAATCAGCGACTCCAAAAACCCGCGAGTAGCAGTCTTGAAGCAAATAGAAGCAATTTTTAGAATCTTGTCCGTCATATTGGATCCGACATTTTCTATTTAAAAATTTTTTTAAATCTAACGTCTGATTCGTAATCAGCGACCCTCAAAACCCCCAAGTAACGATATTGACGCAAATTCAAGCAATTTTTTAAAATCTCATCCGCCATATTGGATCCGCCATTTTGAATTTTGTAAAACTGACATCGGATTCGTAATCAGCGACGCCGAAAACCCCCGAGTAACAATATTGAAGCAAATTTACGGAATTTTTTTAAATCTTTTCCGCCATATTGGATCCGCCATTTTTAATTTTTAAAATTTTTTAAATATGACTTCCGATTTGCAATCAGCGACCCCGAAAACCACCACAAGTAACAATATGGACCCAAATTCAAGCAATTTTTTAAAATCTTGTCCGCCATATTGGATTCGCCATTTTAAATTTTGAAAAACTGACATCGGATTCGTAATCAGTGACCCCGAAAATCCCCGAGTAACAATTTGGAAGCAATTTTGATAAAATTTAAAAATATTTGAAATTTGTTTAAAAATTTGTCAGCCATATTAGATCCACCATTTTGAAATTTTTAAATCTGACTTAAGATTCGTAATCAACGACCCCAAAAACATAAAAAACAAAGTTTTGTTAAAAATTATTCACTAAATGTTAATGAAATGTATAGTTTGTTACATCACTGTTTTTTTTAAACAGTCAATGTTTATTCTATTGTTTAAAATAAATATTACAACTTTTTGTAATTTACTATTTTTTTAATTGTAGCCACATCCATTCGGAATAGAAAGCAATTTAGTGCAAATTAATTGGTTAATTTTCAAAAGAATTACATAAAATTTTCTAAGTGGTACATATATGTACCAGAGGCACGAAAGGGTTAAAAAATTGCAACTGTACGTCTTTCTTGAGTTTTTGAAATTTAGGTTACATTTTCTTACTCTACTTACTTTATTATTTATAAATTAACTGTCAAACTTTTCACATAACAATTTTTGTTAAACAAATATTTAAAAACTTACAAGTTTTTAAAAATCTCATTTTTTCAGAATTTAAAAAACAAAATTCAAATTTCATTAATATTTGTTTAATAAATATTTGAATACTTATTGTTATTTATTTGTCTATCAGGAATTAAAATTTTAAAATACTTTCAAAATAAAACCTTTAAAAATTTAATGAAAATTAGAACTGCAATTCATTCAATTCTTCAAATATTTTCTAAAATTTTAACTAAAATTCTTTTTCAAATCAATTTTTATCAAAAAATTGTACCAGAATTCAATTACTTAAGTAGAAAACTAATAATTGGTTATTTCTAAAAATTGCAACTGTAACTCTACTTGTGGATTTTTTTTAATTCAATAAAGAAAATTCATAGACTTTTTAAGATTTTCAATAATTTGATATTTATTTAATACTTTGGATAAAATTTCCTTACTTTACTTATTTTCATATCCTGTGAAAATCCTGTTATTATCAAAATTCTAAGGGAATTAATTTCATTAAAACACTAATTATTCTATTTACAAATTAATTGTCAAACTTTTGACATGACAATTTGAGCTGTAAAGAAATTTGGATTAAAAAAAGTCCTAACTTCACGTGACGACAAAATATCTCGATTATTATTATATAATATAATTGTTCGTTGAGTAAATATTTAAACCCCACATTTTCCCCTATCCCCTTTAATAAATAGAAAGATTTCATTATAGTAAAAGTGAAATTTATTTTGGTCCAAGAAATAATACTACAAATATATTTTTGTATACATTAATTTGAATTTTAAACCATGTTAAAATTCTGTAGATTAGACTGAGCTTAGTGATTAACAGAAAACATTTCAAGAAAAACATAATACCAACTGGTAAGGGAAAAGAAAGTTATTAATATCGTAAATGTCTTACATTATAAAGAACCAGTAGATCCAAATAGGATATTAAATCGGTTTTTCTCTATTCGATTGCATTTTTCTTTTTTCCTTTCATAGACTTTTTTCGTATAAACTATAATATCTTTGGAACAATAATTTAAACATTTAAAAATATTATATTAAGTACCTACTAAATATACAATTATAAATGCTATTAAAAATCTTAATAATTTATATATCAAACACATATTGTGTCACCAACAAACAAGATCTATTGTTAGGATGAAGAATCCACTTGTAATTTTATATTAAGTATAATGGTAATTTATTACCTATTTTATTTTATATTTTTAAAATACCATTTTTCATTCCTTCAAAAAAAACTCTTAATATTTTTTGAAGTCTGAAACTCGAATCTAACTGGACAAAATTATTTACTCCAGTTTGCTACACAGATTTTCTCCTTTCGTCCCCTTTTTACGTTTTCTCACTTTTTTGGTGATAGGAAACAAATCACCAAAAAAGTTCCTTTTACACTTTTCTCTAATCAAAATAAAAGAAGTTTTTTCCACAATAATTATAAATATGAAAATATTTATCTTTCTTACTGTTTGTGATTTAAATAATATAAAGTAAAGAATTTTATAAATTTTAAGGTGGTTCATCCAACAAAATGCAGACCTCTAGAAAAATTATTAATCAACATTTAAATAATTAAAATATTATTAATATTATTTTCTATAAAAACAAAAATATCAATTTTCGAGAAAAAAATTGCCAATCAACATATATTTATTTATTTTTATACAATTTATTATATCATATCGCTTCTATAGAATTTTTAAAAAATGATTCGATTTTAATGTAATGCGGCTTATTTTCTTCTAAACGTTATCTCGTTCAGATTTTCAAACAAACACGTCGTTTTAAAAATATTCTTATTTGTTTAAAAGAAAATTTTTACTTTCTTTAAACAAATAACGATATTTTTAAAATGATTTTTTGAAGAAAATAAAAAGAGATTAAGTTCCTTATAAATATTACGTAACAATAATTATTAACCCCTCCCCCCTCCCCCTAAACTTGTTACGTAATTTATGGACGGGCCCCTTACTTTTTACTAATTTTATTTCTGTTATCTTGAGACAAAAATATGGTAACTGGCATATTTAACAATAAATTATTACTAATAGAATCAAACGGAGCACAAAGCCACAGAACACTTCTTTCCTCCAGTAAAAGACCTTCAAAGATTCATTATTCATTCTTATTATGGATCAAACAAACATTGCGACACAATATCTTCGGAAAAGATTACAAGGAAGAATTGATTTGGCAAAGTCAGCTCTAAGATTTTTCCCCTATGAAAAGTGTTATCTGTTTGACACCTCCGGAATGTTCACCCCTCAATCTCAGATATTACTATCTTTAATATAGAAGGAAAAAGTTTTGGGATCATTGACTATAAACTTCAAAGCTTGGTTAAAGATGCAAATTATATAGATCAAATATTAGGATTCCATTTAGAAAGAGATGAAAAGGGTTTGTTTGTTGGGAAGACCTCTAATCTTATGAGTCTCAAAAATCAAAAATCAAAAATCATACTAATAGAATCAAACAGTAATAAAAATGTTTAAAACTTTTGTTTGATTAAAAAAATTTTTAATTCACAAAAAATTTTATTTTTGTTTAAATTTATAGAAATTTCTGATACAACGCCTTAAATTTAGCTTATATCTGTAAATAATGAAATTTTAAAATAACTTTCTTTCGGTTAATTAATTATAATTAACTTACAAAAAGTTTAATTGGAAAAAGTCCTAATTTTCAAAAATAATTATAAATTTTAGAAGAATTTAAACTAAAATTCTTTAAAACTTCAATTTCTGTGAAGAAATTAATAATAATTGAAAACTTTTATTTTAAAAACTATTCACATTTTAAAGAAATTTTCATTCAATTGTTCAAAGATACTTGGATTTTTTAAATAAACTTTATTAAAAAATATACAAATTAATTGAAATTTTCTTAAAATTAATTCTACAAATTGTTGATTAAATATTAATTTTTTAAAATTAAAATTAATTTAATTTAATTTAATTAATTAAATTAAATTAATTGAAATTTTGTGAAATTTTCTTAAAAATAATATAATTATGTTAAAAAATTTCATTTGAAATTTAAAAAAACCGAAGTCTCAAAGCATTTTTTATTTAATAATTTATGAATAATTAAATTGACTTTTACAATTTTTATTAATTAGTATATTTTAAAATGAATTAAATTACTTTTTTTAGCGTAAGTCTGAAAAAGTTTTAATTAAAATTTTAAAAATTTAGAGTTTTTAAATATTTTAATTCTCTTCTTGTTAATTCAATTGAAGATGATTGAAATTTTATAGACAATTAACTGACAGATTGTAAAATAATTTTAATTTTCTAAATTCTATTAAAATTTATTGAATTTTTAAAGAATTTTATTGTAATTTTTGAAAAAATCGACGGAAGTTTGATAAAGGAACTAATTTTATTTTTAACTGTTTTAATTTTTTAAGAGGGATCAGGGAAAACATCAAAAATCTATCTAGAAAACGTACAGCGCCTTTAACTTTAGCGCACCGTCAGTTAATCGAACCTAATTCGATCAGAAATACGAAATTATTGTTATTATAAAAATAAAAAATTATGGAAAATATTTTCAAAATTTATAGTAAAAATAGTTTTATATAAAAAGAAGTGTTTAATGTAATAAAATTCATGTAATAATAAAAAAATAAAATAAATTTATTGAAAAGAATCTCCATGAGGAAGCAAAGTGTTCATGAAATGAACACAATAAATTCATCTTTTACCTTGGCAGCGGTTTTTAACTCTCTTGCCCGCCATATTGGATCCGCCATTTTCGATTTTCGAAAACTAGCCTCAGATTTGTATTTATTAACTGCAATAGCCCTTACTCAGTAATTAATTGTCGTATTTAAATGCATTACTGTGTGTATTATGAATCCAATTAACTATTTTGCAAATAAAGCTTGTAATTTATAATCTGTAATTTTTAAGGTTTTGTTCAGCTAAATTGGAGTTTCAGACCATTGTGCAAATTTTTAAAAATAGTTTGACATTTTCTCGCGTCAACTATAGTTGTGTATTTAATTTTATTCAAAGTTTTATTAACAAGGTAGACTCTCATTTTTATTTGAACCTACTGGTCTTTCTATGTAGAGTACTAACGTTCTTATTAAAAAAACTCTTCAATACATTAAGATATGCTCTTTTTAGTTCTATTCTTCTTGATTTATAAGAGTATTTTTAAAAATGCATACTGAAGAATAAATATTAATTACAATAATGGATTCCAGTAGGAGTGTTTATCAAGTGCTTTGAGATTCGAGATTCAAGTGCGCCATTCGAGTGTGTTCATCCTGATTATCCGAATTAACAGAAACACTCGAATCAGACTTGATCTCATCTAAAATACGTCTAATTTGACTTTGAAGCTGTCCGGCAATTTTACGAACACCAACATAATTCTGTTTCACGTCCTTAACGCACTGCAACATTCCCGTCCATGGCGCAGCACTTGTATGAGCCAAATACAATTCCTTCCAAAGTTGAATACTAATTGGAGCTATGCTTGGCCAAATAACACCAGCATTCGGTTCATAAAGTGGATTCAACCATTTTCCCAGAATCTCTGGCTGATTAATATGTGACCAAAAACTGAAGGTGCGTTCCGAAAGTCTCAATCTGTGTCTTTCTACTTCAGAATCACCTGGGAATCAAAAATTTATGATTTCAATGAAATCAGAGTTAAAAATAATAGAAAACATGTGTCAATATCGTATTTATTTTAAGTTAATTATTAAATTATAAATTCTCACCCAGAAAAGTGCCGTAATTAGAATAATAGGCGTTCTTAAAAAGTTCTACGAGTAGATCAGTCGTATATTCGAAACTAAATTGAAATTGGTAATGCAGTTGATAAAGGCAATCTAGAAATAGTAAAAATGTTGGTGCATGTTGTACATTTTGTCCATGAGAATTGAAAAAGGCTCCATGACGAGTGCGAGTATAAAATTGATGACCCGCTTGAAGCCATTCTCGTTCTATTAAAGCTTCCAAGCCTCGTACCGTTCGACAGTCTGGATTTAATATCACTTGGGTTAAACTTGTCACCACTAATGTGGAATCACGTCCACTGCTACCTGTACATTTAAAGAAGACAACATTTTATTTTTACCATTTAACCTTAATAAGATTAAATTTAACCATCATGAATCTTCTTGAAAATCGAATTTTTTGCTTAATTTCAAAGTATCAAGTCTTAGGAGTAATCAGGGCTCGAATCAGTGAAGGTATTTAAAAATACGGACTTTACGGACCAAAAATAAAAAATTACGGACCAATTACTGACGAGAATATAACCAGTCCAAGTCAAAAAAGAGAACATTTTACTTAAAACTATAAATTCAATTTTTCATAACTATAAAACATGAATTGAGTGATAAGCGTTAAATCCTTCCATAGTTTAATTGTTAGTAGTAAAATAAATGATCATGGGAAGGTAAAGAATTGAAAAATTCAATGTATCGTCAAAATTGCGATGTTTCGTTGGCTAAGGTTTGCCAACCTTTAAAACTTACTAGAAAAAACAACAAAATTGTCACAAATTGGTATCAAAAGCCGACTTCATCATATAGACTCATTAATTATTTTTCAGATCATCCAATCCAACAAAAAAAGAATATTGTATACAATCTGGTTGATAGAGCGATTTCATTGTCCAACAAAGAGTTTCATTTTGATAACTTAAAGAAGATAAGATCCATCTTAAAAAATAATAACTATCCTTTGGATTTTATTGATAAACATATAAAAATTCGTACAAACCATATAACATTTTCTCAGGTTAATAATAATAATAACAATAATCGAAATAAAATTAGTATTTACAGTCAAATCCCGAAGGTTTGTTTACCGTTCAATGAAAAATGTTTCTTTAAGTTGTCAAATATTCTCAAAGAGTTTCATTTTACTGCGATTCCACTTATTAATAAAAACTCCAATTCTATAATTAGACTTGGTAAAGATGCATCTAAAAAATGGGACAGAACAAATGTTGTATACAAGTTTGACTGTAAAGATTGTCCTGCAACATATATAGGTGAAACAAAACGGTCATTGTTAACTCGCATAAATGAACATAAAAAAGTAAATGATAACTCTGTAGTTTACCGCCATCGAATTAATTGTAATCATGACTTCGATTGGGAAAATGCCAAAATTTTGGACAATGAACCAAATTTTATAAAACGACGAATATCTGAAATGATCCATATACAAACAAATCATTCCACTATTAATAGAAAGGAAGATATTTTCACTCTAAACAGAACCTTTTTTCCTCTTCTCAGACGTTTAGACTCTTGTCTATAATGACACAACAATAACACAACTTGCTCCCTCTATGATAAAACTGTGTTTACATTTAGTTCATTGACTTTTTCTTTATCTTGATTCTTTTGACTTTCTCGAAATAGCAAATTTTAATTTATTTCAGTTGACACTGAACTAGTGTGTTGAAATGTCTTCCTTTCACATGATGAAATTTTTCATTTTTAATTTTGATATATGTGGAAATTGTCATAAAAAAAATATTTTTTCTCAATGAAATCTTTTTTATATTGACGAGTTAGAACGTGATTTTTATGTTTTAACGAATCTGGTAGGATATTCTTTAAACATATTTTCAGTATAGTGTATAGTGTTGTTTTAAACCTTTATAAATATTGAAGTGTTTTTCTGTTTAAATAAATTTAGCCTGATGAGGTTGGCAAACCTTAGCCAACGAAACGTCGCAATTTTGACGATACATTGAATTTTTCAATTCTTCACCTTCCCATGATCATTTATTTTACTACTAACAATTAAACTATGGAAGGATTTAACGCTTATCACTCAATTAATTTGAGTCTTGGATCGGAGATAGACCCACATTCTTTATCAGCTTCCTTTTTCACATATATTGGTGAAAAATATGGCACACACTTCAAATGTCTCTTAAAGAAATGGACATCTATTAGCAAACAACTGGCAACAGCACTTTCAAAAAGAGTTTTTCTCTTGAGCTGCAGAAATAACGGCGTCTTTCCTCAACCTCAACACATTATTAATATACAAAGACGTCTAAACACTACTTCTTTCTACAGTAAGTCTTGTAAAAAATCTTTTTTTAATTTAAATGTATCCTACCTAAAAAAACTTCTTAACATCGAAATCAATGATATTCATTTACAAAATTTTCAAAATTTGCAATTCAAACTCTTTATGTTTTATAATAATTAAAGATGACCGAGTGATAAAATCATTTACAATTCAATTATTATTTACAAGAATTTTTAACTGAACTTCTTTTTTAAATCGATTATTTGTAATAATTTTCAAAAAAGTTCTTTGACAATTTACAAATCCATTTCATTATAATATTCAATTTTACGAAATTTCAATTATTCGTAAATTTTTCAATTAAATAAATATTAGAAAATAAAAACTTAAGATAATATTTTAAAAATTCATTTAAACTTTTTCAAAAAAATTAATTTTAAAATCCAATTAATTTAAAAATTCACGCTATATTGCTTTTAATATTCAATTATTATCTAAAATTGTAAATGAAATTAATTTTTAAATCAATTTTTATTAAAAATTTTTACTAGAATTCAATTATTTAAATAGAAAAATAAATAATTTATTGAATAATTAAATGTTTCTTAAAATTCCATTTCCATAAAGAATCGTTATCAACAAATTTTCAATTAATTGAATTCTATCAACAAATTTTAATAAAATTTTTAAGAATAATTACATTTTTCGAAAAATTTGATAAAAATTGTATTAAAAATAATTGAAATTTAGCAATGAGTTTTATTATTTGTGAAAATAATTGAATCCCTAAGAAGAATTTTATTACTTGTGAACAATATTTAATTTTTGCTAAAAATATTATTAATGTTAAAAATAATTGAATTTTTGCAATAATTTCTAACTTTTACAAAATTGAATTTTTTTCGTGTTTTTAACAAAACATCTTCTATAAATCCATTATTTTTAATAATTTTTGAAAAAGTTTTTTAAGTATTTTCAAATTCATTAGTTTACAATTCAATTTTACAAAATTTCAATTGTTCGTAAATTCTTCAATCAGGGTGGCCGCTGGACCGGGAAACCGGGAAAACCGGGAAATGACAGTGAATTTTTTTGGACAGGGAAAAACCGGGAAATGACAGTGAATTTTGATCTTGACCGGGATTTTGGAATTTTTTTTTTAAAAACACACATTACTTTGTGAGAAAAAATAGAAATATTTATTTTAAGACTTAGGTATTAACTATATTTCATTAAAAAAGATTGAATGATCTTCTATAAAATCTATTTATATTTTGTCAAAGAATTTTATAAAAAGTACTATAAAAATATTCAATTTCTAGAATTTATAAGAAAATTATGAATTTTGTTGTCCAACGTAACAGACTTAAAAAAAGAAAATATTAAATTTAATTTTAAATTCTTTCTATTTCTAACAATAATTAAACAAAATATAATTTTAATTAAATTTGTCAAAAAAATTTCAAAGAGAAAAAATTTCACATCCTATAAAATAATGAAAAATAAATCAATTTAAAAATTTTTTGCAATTAATATTATAACAAAACAAATAAGAATTATTAAAAATTTGAACTAATTAGAACAAAAGTGATACGAAATTTATAAAAATGAATTTTTGAATAACAAATAAAGTAAATAAAAATAAATAAAATTTCTTTTCTGAGAAAATAAATTTTAAAAAACCGTATTTTTCATTAATATCAATTAGTTTTTTTACAATTATTCATAAGCAAATTTTTCGATTTTTTTGAATGTTAAATAAATATCATACTAATATTATTATAGATTGAATTTTAAAAAATTTCAAATTGAAGTTTTAGAAAAGTTGAATTTTAAAAGATTTTAATTAAAAATTCTGAATAATTTAGTCTTTAAAAATATTTTTATTCACATTTTCTCAAATTAGTTATGTTTTTAAATATGTAATATTTAATTGAAAAATTTTCAAATTAATCAAAATTTCATGAAATTGTCTTGTAAACAAGTGGATTTTAGAAATATTTTAGTTATTTCTAGAATATAATTGAATTGAAATTTTGAAAATAATTATTAATACTATATGGAAAAATAATGGATAATAATTAAATATTTATTTCAAAAAATCTATTTAAGTTCAAAATTATTTTTAGAGTAAACTAAAATATTTTTAGGGTTTGGGAAAAAGTCAAAGTTTTGTCTAAAAATCAGGAAATTCTTTCAATCTTTCATGGAATAATTTATTTTCAGAGTTATTATTTATGACCGGGAAAAATAATTTATGACCGGGAATGGACCGGGAAATGACCGTGAATTTTTTTTTACAAAAAAAGTGGCCACCCTGTCAATGAAAGATATATGAGAAAATAAAAACTTTAAATAATAAAAAAAAATCTGCAATTAAAGTTTCTCCAAAGAAAAAATTCATTTCACAGAATTGTTAGTTAAAAATATGAGAAATTCAAATTTTCAAAGATTTTAATCTGTAATCTTTTCAAAATTCAATTATTTCTAAAAATTTACGCTCAAATGCCTTTGAAATTAAATTATAGGTAATTTAAAATTTTAACTGAAATCCATTTTTAAATCAATGTTTATGAAAAAATTCTACGAGAATGCAATTATTTAAATACAAAAATAACAATTTATTGAATAATTGCATGTTTTTTAAAATTGAATTCTTATAAAGAATTTTATTAACAAATTTTTAAATAATTGAATTCTTTTGACGAATTTTAATAAAATTTTTAAGAATTTTTTCGAGAAATTCGATTAAAATTGTATTAAAAAAAATTGAAATTCTGCAATGAGTTTTATTATTTATGCAAATAATTGAATTCCTAAAAAGAATTTTATTCTTTACAAAAATAATTGAATTCCCAAAAAGAATTTTATTACTTTCGTAAATAATTGAATGTTTGCATAGAATTTTATCAATATTTTTGAAAATAATTGAAATTTTGCTAAGAATTTTATTAAAATTTTAGAAAATAATTGAATTTCGGAGAAGAATTTTATTGCTTGTAAAAATAATTGAAATTTTGCCCAGAATTTTATTAAAATTTTAGAAAATAATTGAATTTTAGAGAAGAATATTATTGCTTGTAAAAAAATAATTGGAATTTTGACGAGAATTTTTATAAATTTTTGAACATACATAATTGAATTTCTGCGAAGAATTTTATTACTTTTTCAAAAAAATTTAAATTCCGCAATCATTTGTAATTTGATTCTAAAATTCAATTTTTTTAGTGATTTCAACTAAAATTCATTTTTAAATCAATTTTCAATAGTAAATTTTACGAGAATTAAATTATTTAAACACAAAAACAAATAATTTATTAAAATTTGTAAATAATTGAATTTCTGTGAAATTTTTATTTTTTAAGAAAATAATGAAATGTTCTCGTAAAATTCTATCGGAATTTTTTAAAAATAATTAAATTCTTTTGGAAAAATTTATTATGACAGAAGATATTGAAAATCATTGAATTGTGGAAAGTTTTTGAAAATAATTAAAATTTTGACAAGAATTTTACTAAAATTTTTAAAAATAGTTGAATTTTGGAGAAGAATTTGATTATTTATAAAAATAATTGAAATTTTGACGAGAATTTTATTAAAATTTTTGAAAATAATTGAATTCCTAAAAAGAATTTTATTACTTCCGAAAATAATTGAATCCCAGTAAAAATTTTATTATTTATGAAAATAATTGAATGATTGCGAAGAAATTTATGAAAAAATTTGTAAATAATGAAATTCCTGTGAAATTTTTATTATTTTTTGAAAATAATTAAAAGTTTGTGTAGAATTTTATTAAATTTTTTTTTAAATAATTGAATTCTTTTGGAAAATTTTATGAAAATAGTAGATACCTATTGAAAATTATTGAATTGAGGAAATTTTTTGAAAATAATTGATTTTCGGAGAAGAATTTAATTATTTCTAAAGATAATTGAAATGTTGATGAGAATTTTTAAAAATTTTGGAACATAATTGAATTTCTTCAAGGAATTTTTTTTCTTTTGAAAATAGTTCACCTTCTGCAATTATTTATAATTTTTCTAAAATTATCCAAATTATATCGTACAATTTACGAAGTTTTTATCCTTTTTGAATCAAATTACGGACTTTACGGACCTTTTTTTCAAAAAACGGACTTTTACGGACTTCAAGCAAAGTTACGGACTTTTACGGGATTTACGGACCTAGTTCGAGCCCTGTTCACGCAACTCGTGGTGAAAAATGATTTAACTCGTGTGATTCCTGTTCTTGCTGTGCTCGATCAGCAAATCACTCATTTTCACCACTATTTGCCCAATCTACTATCATTGAATTACCGTGCACCAAAACTGCCGCAATTTCATGATGAAGGCATTGCGCAGCTACACAAGCCGCGTTTAGAGCACTTTGAATTGCCGCTAACCAAGAGCTGTTGTCTAATCGCGAAAGCCACTGAGAAGTAGTACATCCAGTGTCCGTGCACGCTTCAATTAATTTACTTAAACTATCCATTAAATCACTTGGTCGTTGAACGGGTTTGTGGACCTTTCGCCACTGTGGATAGGCGGCATCCATTTCAGTTCCGCCACCTCTAGCTCTAGCACTTTGAGCTTGCGTAGAAGACCTTGTGTCTACTATGTACCTATGGAATAATTCACAATAAAAGAGAGCCAAATATTTTCCATTTCAATGAAATGAAACCGTAATAACTGTATTCTTTGATTAAAAGATTACCCGCGTCTGCCAGGCCCCAAAACTGCATTCAAAAGTCTTTCATCTTCCTTACATCTTTTCCCACTAGCTCCACACATTGGTTGACCACTTCTGATTAAAATACTCTACAATATATTTTTAAGTATATAATTTTAAACAATTCCAACTTTCATAAAATTTTAAGTGTATTTCTAAACTTTACCCCTCCATCGTGCCTGTAGCAAAGAACAGGAAATCGGCCACCATCTCTAAAATTGGCAGACGCTATGATGACATTGTCTTCTATGTGACGAGGTACAATAACTGACGAAGGATATGAGCTACAAACGTTATAATCTCGATTTAAATAACTAATGCGCCATTCGTCTGCATGAGCAGCTAATAATCTAGACCATTCGGAAACGGGCACAAAAGCAGTCCATCCATCCTCAACTTGTGCCTTTGTATTATTAATCACTTGTGGTCTATAAAAAAAGGGATATTGCGATGTTTGTCCTGCAATCGAGAGTAATATTTTCCTTAAATTTTTATTTTTCTATATTACACTACCGACGGAAATTGTGCGAACGCTAACATCTCGAGCTATTAAAAAACACACCCTCACAGAAAGAGTGATAACTCCGTTAAAAATGAAGTTAGATGCTTATTTTAAATTGCATTGGAAAGCTTATTAAATTTCCAATGAAATGCCACTATTTTACGTTGTATTGCATAAATAGGAAGCGAGATATCATGTTATGAAGGGTGGATTCCACGTCAGTTCAACACACTTATTTGCATGACTTGTTGGGATTTGCCTGTACTTTCGTAAATTTATTACTTTTATAGTGATAAACAACTCCACCAAATATTTTTTCAAAATTTTGAAAATTACCAAAAATATGGCATTTTCAAAATTTTTGTCTTTTTTTTTTAAAGTGCTATAACTTTGGTTCTAATTAACTGATTTTGGATTTTAAAAAAACGATTTTTTTGGTTTTAAGTAAATTTCAAGTTAAAATTAATATAAAAAAAAAATTCAAAAAATTTTTTTTTTGAAATTTTGAAAAATTAAAAATCCGTTTTTGAAAAAACATCATCTTTGATTTTTTTCAAAATTTTACTAAATGTTAGGGCAAATGTGCTTAACATGTCCTGTAAGTTTCATCTTGGGATCTCAAAGGGATTCGGAGTAAAAAAATAAAACGTAACCACAAATTACGAACATATGGGGCAAAATTCCTCAACTGCCCAGGTAAAAAAATGAATTTTCTCTAAACTTTGCTAAAATGTTACTATTATTAGTAGAAGTGTCAATATATTAATTTTTTTTTGAATTTGATAAAATATTTTTTGAGTTATGGAGTTTCAAAATTATATTGATAAGTAAAATTAATCAAATTTAAAGTATGAATAGTGATTTTTAAAAGGGTTTTCACGGGCTATAAGCTGGTGATGAAAAAAAAGTTGTTTTCTGTCAATTTGACCTTGAAATTCAAGGTCAAATTCTTATTTTCAATATACAGTAGAACCCGGTTAATATGATCCCGTTTAATACGATTTCCCGCTTAAGACGCTCATTTATGGTGGTCCCTGCAATTAAAGACGTACATTTTATATCCCACCTAATATGTTTTACCACATAAGACGCATTCTTAGTGCGGTCCCTACAGAATCGTATTAACCGGGTTCTACTGTATCTCAAAATCGGTGTTTTTTTATTTTTTTCTAACCTCTCCCAATCGAAAGCTTACCTTTTTTCATATGAGCCATGTAAAAATCAGAGTGGGACCATGGTACTTTTTGAAGAAATTAATTATAATTATCATCATTTTCTATGTAAAATAATGATAAATTATTATTTTCCTCAAAAATTCTCATGGTCCCACTCTGATTTTTACATGGCTTATAGAAAAAAGGTCACCAGCTTATAGCCCGTGAAAACTCCTTTTAAAATCACTATTCATACTTTAAATTTGATTAATTTTACTTATCAATATATTAAATCGAAAAAAGATATTTTCAAAAAAATCAAAATTTTGAAACTCCATAACTCAAAAAATATTTTATCAAATTCAAAAAAAAATTAATATTTACACTTCTACTAATAATAGTAACATTTTAGCAAAGTTTAGAGAAAATTCATTTTTTTACCTGGGCAGTTGAGGAATTTTGCCCCATATGTTCGTAATTTGTGGTTACGTTTTATTTTTTTACTCCGAATTCCTTTGAGATCCCAAGATGAAACTAACAGGACATGTAAAGCACATGTGCCCTAACATTTAGTAAAATTTTGAAAAAAATCGAAGATGATGTTTTTTCAAAAACGGATTTTTAATTTTTCAAAATTTCAAAAAAAAAAAATTTTTTTTATATTAATTTTAACTTAAAATATACTTAAAACCAAAGAAATTCTTTTTTTAAAATCCAAAATCGGTTAATTAGAACCAAAGTTATAGCACTTTAAAAAAAAGACAAAAATTTTGAAAATGCCATATTTTTGGTAATTTTTAAAATTTTGAAAAAATATTTGGTGGAGTTGTTTATCACTATAAAAGTAATAAATTTACAAAAGTACAGCCAAATCCCAACAAGTCATGAAAATAAGTGTGTTGAACTGACGTGGAATCCACCGAAGACAAAAAAATAATTCTATTTTTTTCGGAATTTTTTACCCTGACTTTGACTCCTGGCAAAATTTAGAAAAAATGATGAAAAAAATTGTTACTTTCACAGACTATTCCTTGTAATCTAAGCTTTAAATAGAGACCAAGATCAGCAAAAAATATTTACGGGTTCCTAAAATATTACAAAAAGAGTCGGACCGTGCGAAGCAATATTTTCAATCATCGATTTCTCTGTGAAAGTAACAATTTTTTTCATAAACTTTTCTAAATTTTGCCAGGAGTCAAAGTCAGGGTAAGAAATAGCGAAAAAAATAGAATTATTCTTTTGTGTTTATAACATGATATCTCGCTTCCCATTTATGGAATACAACTTAAAATAGAGGCATTTCATTGGAAATTTAATAAGCTTTCCAATGCAACTTAAAAAAAGCATCTAGCTTCCTTTTTAACCGAGTTATCACTCTTTCTGTGCGGGTATGTTTTTTAATAGCTCGAGATGTTAGCGTTCGCACAATTTCCGTCGGTAGTGTATATTCAATTATTTAAATATTTACACTAAAACCTGGATTTATTTGTCTGTCAGAATTGAAAAATGTTAGGAGTAGATAATCGAAAGAAAAAGCCATTGAAAATTAAAATTTATTCGATTAACTTGAAACTTTGGTAAATTGTTGCCCTATAGGAGTGTAAAAAATTCCTAAATAAAATTCAGACAATAATAGATTTGCGAGAAAATGTAAAAAACGAATTTCTTTAATATATTTGTCCAGGTTCACGTGTAGAAATAAGACTTTTATCATTTAAACCTTTTTTCTTAAAAAATTCTAATTTGAATTTGTAATAATTTTGTAATAGAGCACTTCCACGTAAATTAATTCTATTTATTAAATTATAACTTTTTCACAAAATATCGACAAATTTACTGTCCTAAGTACTTTTAATTATTTTACAAAAAATTAAACTTTAACATAAGTTGTTTAAAAGTTGTTTATACAAAACGAGCATGTAATCTCCGCTTTCTCGGCACGTTTTTGAGACGCAAAGTATGCCTTTACTTCAAGCAGCAGTTTTATAGTCCTAGGACAGTAAAACTACTGCTTGAAGCAAAGCCGTGCTTTACCTCTCAAAAACGCACTGAGTAACCGCGGATTACATTCTCGTTTTGTATAAAATGTCGTGTGTACCTCGGACGCACGCATTTCTCGTTCTCGTTGCACAATGTACTATTAAACAAACAGTTTAAAAAAGTTTAAACAGTTTAAAGGTTAAAAAAAATCTTTGAATTATTTTAAGTGAAATAGCTTGATTCCATTTGAATTGAAACACCTAACATTACCTAATAATAGAAGTTTTTCTAAAGATTGTACTACGTTGTTTAAGTCATCACTAGAACTTATTTCCAGTTGTAGAATGCGAAAATCTTTGCATTTAAAAATAATACTTCCTCCCGCCATTTGATTGTAAGTTTTCTTTTCCATTACATCGATGTTCCGGTAAAGTAACTATTGAGCATAATAATCTTTATTAAATATCATTTGTCCTATTAATAACACAGGTCTAGTGTCTACAAATTTCAGAACCACAAACTTAAACAAAATAGTCATTTTTAATGCAATATTTAACGCTGAATCAAAATTGCGTCAAAAGTGCAGGATACTTTATTTAGTGGGGCTGAGATTTTTAATTAATAATAATTTCAATTCATTCTGCAGACACAACTATTGTTAATTAAGTCTAGTTAGGGACTTATTGTTATCCTTAATTGTAAAAAATTGTTGTTTTAATTTATTACACTTTTTGCTTGTATATTTTATTTTTATTAAATAAATAATATAATTTAAGGGGATATTTCACAACTATGTTTAAAAAATTAAAAACAAAACGACTATCAAATATAAAAAAGGCTTCGGAGATGAATTGATAATTTAATGAAAAAATTCTCGTTTTTTCTAATTTGAAAAATATTACAATTTTTGTAAACAACATTTTTAGTTTTAATTAATTTATTTATTTAACAAGTATAAATATTTATTATATTTAACAAGTTAATCTTCAAATATTCTTACATAGATTACATGTATAATATATTTTATAACCAGGAAAAACTTTAAATATAAGCATTAGGAGATTATGTAAAGATAGATAAATCTTCGTAGATTATAAATAATTTTTTTTTAAAATTCAAAATTGATAGAATATCAATAAGAAACTAATGTAAATAATGAACAAATAAAATAATGAAAAAACAATGGTTAAATACCATTGTTATTCAATTTTTTGATATGCAAATTCACTTGTCTACTTTTTTTAACCAATTTCAAATTATAATAATTTAATAAGTGATGTCCGACTATAAGTATTAATTGATAAGTGTTCGTGACGTCTTTTTTCGTTTCTGAAGAGGACGGCTGTGACTGTCGAAACGTAAAAAATAAGACATGTGTTTTTTTATTATTAACCTGACTTGGATTGATTGATATATTCCATCTATTGTTTATATATTTGACCAAGTGATAAATTCTACATATATTATAATCATAATTTAATGTTTAAAATAAATATAGTTTCAAAAATGTTAAATTTTCTCTTCTTTTCCTTTTCTTTCGGCCTTGAATCAGCTGAGCCGTTTTCCATGTGTTTTCGTGTTCCCCAGTACATTTTTACTCAGTTGTACCTTATTTTGAATCTCCTATACTTTTAATTTCATTGAAATTAAATTTCTTATTATCAAAATTTTATTCTAATTTTTAATTTTATTTAAGTATTTTTATTTATAATTATCAAATATTAATTAAGTATTTGTATTTATAATTATCAAATTTTAATTTTGACGATTGAAATACCGATTCAATACCAATAAATATAATACTACCAAGTTTCACTGAAAATGTTTCATTTTAACATGGGATATGACATAGGGGAGACTGGGGCGAAATGTTAAATTTTGCATAAATGATTTTTTTTAGACAATATAATCCGCTTAGATGCAAATATTTATACATCAATATTGTAGGGCAACTTGTCCCCTACAACTTTCAATAAAAAAGTTTCTGATATTTTCGCATACAATACATGTTTTGTCCTTTTTTGAAAATTTTGTTTTTTTTAACTTTTCGCCCCATGCTGGGGTAAAAAGTTAAATGGCTGGGGCAAAAAGTTAAATTCTATTTTTAGCCTACTAAAACTATTTTCTAATAGGTGTTAAGTAGTAGATAAGTTAAAGTATACGTAAACAAGTAATTTAGTTAATAAAAGATCTTTGTTTACTTAACAAAAGCTTTAGAATAGTTATAAAGTTAATAAATGAAAATTTCAAAAAAAAAAAATTTTTTTTGGTTTATTTCACGTGAGCGGTCTTGTTTTTTGACAGAGTACTTGCCTAATGTCAAATAAATCATTTTTAAACAAATAAACCCAAAAAAACAAAAATAAAAAAAATTTTTTTAATAACATGTAAAAATACATTTAACTTTTCGCCCCAGGGTGCGTTTTTGGCTTTAACAACAAATATAAAAAATCTGACTAAAGTTATTTAGCAAATACCTTTAGGTATCTCTTCAGGGGACCCAAATAATGAAGTAAAAAAATCGTGGTGAGAATAAATGCAAAAAATATACTTAAAAGTTGATATTTTCTTTTACGAAAAAATTTTCAAAAGTAGGGTGAAAAAAAAATTTCAATATGGACACCACAAAAATTAGCAGAATGTCACATAACTCCGGACATTTATTCAGGGTGATAACACCCTTCTATAATTAAAATTGCAATGCTCTAACTATTTCCGTTCGAAAGATAATGAATTTTAACTGTTTTCACAATTTAACTTTTCGCCCCAGTCTCCCCTATACATTTGTTTTTGGAATTGACTTGACTTTTAAAAAATGAAATTTTATCACAAAGAATCAAAATTATAAAAAAAATTAACTTTTCTATTTTCTATACATTGACAATTAATTTTTAAAAAGTATTTTGAAGAAAATTGACAATAAAAACATCCGATACAAACCCAAAGTTCTTGACGATCTTCCTGTCTGGATGACAGAATGAAATGATGTCCAGTTATGCATAAAGTGCCTTCTAAACTAAATCCTTTCCTGTTCTCATCAGTTTTATCTGTCAATGTGACATTGTCAACTTGATGAACTGAAATAATGTCTGCAAACTCCATTATTTTTGTATATAAAGCACAATTATTTTTTGTATTTTGACACTTTACAATAACCTAACAGTATTTATTATATATAGCTAAATATACATTTTTCGACGAATAAAATGTACAGAAGTTTAATGTTGCACTGGAAATTTTAATAATTTAAAACTAACATATTCAAGACACATTGTTTTTAAGAATTTAAAAAATTTTCGAAAATGATAGAAAATTTTTTTTTGGTTAAATACTTCTAAATATTTATGTGAAACGTGTGAAACAGAATTGTCAGGTTTTTAGTCTTGTGTCCTTTTCTATCTCATGCTTTTCGTTTGGGTGAAAGAATTGTGTTGGGGGCTTTATGATTCTTACGGTATCTACATGTGAGGCAGGGATGGGAACGAATATAAGGTTGAGTCCACAATAGCACTCTTGAACGGGACGTAAACGTTTCGTTACGTTACGTCCGTTCAAGAGTGCTATTGTGGACTCAACCTAATTAATAAACATTTGGAAAAACCATTTTTGTCTTTCTCTCTTCTATGATAGAAGCATAAGTTTGTCTCACTCTACATTTTCCGTTTTTGAAAAAGTATGAAAATGTAGAGTGAGACAAACTTATGCCTCTGTCATAGGAAAGAGAAAGACAAAAATGGTTTTCCCAAAACTCATGTGACCGTTCACTAAATTTGATTGGCTGTCATAATTATTCTATTTTTACCAACTTTTAAGGAGCATTTACACTTTCGGTAATGTTCAGAACCTCCAGGAAGAACGGAAATCCACATTGGAGTAAGAGAGACAGATATACAGCCTGTCTCTCTTACTCTAATATAGATTTTCCATTCTGAACAATTTTTACCGAAGGTGTAAATGCTCCATGAGTGTAACAAGGATAGAAGTACATGAAAACGCAAAAACGTGCGTTGAGGGCGCCAGTTTCGTTTCCATTACAATTTCAACACTCCTCTCTTATAATCTACATAGTTAATGTAGAATATGTCATTTGTTATTATGGGGATATAAATAATAAAATTTTTGTACTTTTTTAAAATTTATATTAAACATAAATAAATATAAATATCAACAAAAAGTACATTAAATAATGGATTTGTTTTATACAGTTAATAGAAGATCTTTAACCAAGTCATTTTCACAGCAAGAAAGGTATAATTTTCAATATGTTTAAACTAATTTTATATAAACATTAAAAATAAAAATTTAGCTACGTCAATAATGATAATTTTGCATTATTAATGTTGTATTTAAAATACTGTCATTCGAAAATTGCAGAGAAACATATTTCTCATTCAATTATTTTGAAAACAGTTTCTAACCTTTTTTTCTGTATAATATTTCATTATTATTCGTCAGTAAAAGCGAATTTTTAAGTGCTCTCGATAAATTTTGTTAAATTAACTATTATTGCTGCTAAATTTTCTTGTACGGGGAAAATTAAATTTCGTAAAAATTATTACGTGATACTTTCATTTTCAAAATAATATTAAAACTAATCTTTATTACGAAAATTTTAATTATTCTAAAGAATAGTAAATGTAAAAAACGATTTTATATTTATCTTTTAGAACAATATATTCATATTTCAGAAAAAAATTTTGTTTGTTACTGTCACACAAACTAGAAAAATGTTATATTCATATATAAACTAATACTATGTTATAACTGCGGTGTTAAAATCTGACAAAGTCAAATAGCACGAATGTCATTGTTTTATAATTAGTTGGCTAGAATTGTTTATTAATGTTTATTAATAGTATTGTTTATTAATGTAGAAAAACAACAAAAGTATTGAACAAATTTTTCTTGTCTTAGGGAAATTTTCTAAATACAAAAATTTAAACTTATTAATAATAATTTTTCAGTTTGTATGAAGGACAATCTTTGTGCACAGTATCCAGTCGGAATGTCATTGCATTTACATCAACTACTGAACTTGACGATACTATTGGAAAAACATGGGGATCTCATGTCTATGTTTGCGACATCAACATGCCATGGCATACACACAAGTGAGTGATAATAACATACTGTTGAGAAGAAAATATTGACAATTTAGATAACATTTACGAGAAACTTTTGCAAAAAAATATTCTAATTGCAAGCATCACAGTACCTTTTATCCTCAAAAAAGGTGAAAAAGGAAACTTTTTTCCTGAAAAAAGGGTCAAAAAGGGGACGAAAAATATACCAAACAACGAATTAAAATGTGTTAAAAGTTATATTAACAATGTATCAATACTCAAATATCTTACAGTTTTGGCTTCTTTGATAGAAAATAACATTTATTTACGAATTTCTTTAATTGTAAAATTATTCTAAAACATGAATAACTTCTTTTATCAATAAATATTTAATCATTATTTTTTTTTTTGAGTTTTTGAATAAAATTATTCAAAACTAAGAATTTTTAAAGAAAAATAATGTAATTAATAGGGGAGATTGTAAAATTGTGGGCCACTTTAATTATTTAATAATATTTATAAGTTTGATCATCCAATTTTTTTTTATTTTTTTTTGTTCGTCCAATGTACATTTTCATTAGCATTTCAAGCATTTTGCCGATTTAATTGTACAATGCAGATACATATTAAAATCACTCATATCTATAGTAATTTAATAAAAACAATTCCATTCATTGCGATTCATGCGATAAAGCTGTTCATTTAAAATGTGTAATTAATGGATCCTATCTTACTTGTCCAAATTGAAATTTCGATTAATTTTATTTTCTTACTTTTTCTTTTCTAATTTTAAACTAATAATTAAACATTTATATCATTTTAAATACTTGTAACCATTTAATAAATATATTTCATCGTTAATTTTTTATTTTGAACTTAATTTAGGCAGTGGCCCACAGTTCCCCAACATTTTTAAAAATCATAAAAGTGCACTCTCTTTGGTAAAACTGAAATTTCTTTTACATAAGTGATAATTTTGGGAAACTGACTATGATATATGTTAATTTATACCTCCTACTGACACGGAGAATTGAACCCTCCGTCACACACTTTAGAAAAAATTACACCATTACACACGTTTAGAGGAAATCCTTCACCACATTGTTAAATAAGCGATATTACAACATAGACGAAGGAATCACCAAAAATTTAGTTTTAACACAAACTTACGAAAATGTAGTAAATTATTCTAAATTATAAAATTAATAAAATTAATTACACGAATGCACATCTTCGAAGGAATTCCACTTTACATGTAAAAATAATGTAACATTAACAAATAAGCAAAAAAAAACCATTAAATATTTCATTTTAATTATATTTATAATATAATTTTGTCATTAACCAACAGTGGAACAAAAAATGTTTTGAAAACTTGATTTTTTTATTTAACATAACCTCACTTTTTCGAGTTTTTTCTGGCTTTAAAGCTTCATAATTAAATATTAATTATGTTTTAACTAAATGTTTTTTTAGAAATGTGTTGAGGAGTAAATTGTCGAAAGGTATAGAAACTGATTTTATTTTGCAATGAGGAAAACAAAATTTATTTAAAAAATACTGAAACCGTAGAGGGAATCCCTCCCTAGGTGTGTGACGGAGGGTTAAAAATTTGAAAAAAAATTTGTGTTTAAGGTATTGAGTTAACAAAAAGTGTGGCCCATAATTCCCAAATCTCCCTTACACTTTAAAAAAGATTTCAAAACTAAGAAAAACTTCTTTATATTTCATTAGAAACGAGTGAAAAATGTGACAAAAGGGGACTAACTGTGATGCCTGTAATTGTATTTTTTCTTCTAATTTTTCTTCTTCCTTTTCTTTTTTCTTTTTCTAAATGATCTACAAAGAATGTCGTACATTAAACTTACAAAGACCGTAGAAATTAAATTGGAAATGGGTCAAAATAAGTGAAACCGGCCGCACTTGAAAACTTTTTGTCTCCAATTTTCAAGTTATCTATGATTTTTGGTAGATATTTAAGTACACCTTTTCCCCTACAATATTTTCCAAAAAAAAAAAATTTATTATTGAAGTAATCAGGTGTTGAACTTTTGGTTCATTTTATTTTCATTTTATTATTACTTTGAAACAAATAAAGATAACTATATAAGTGAATTTTTTTAAATGAAATCTTAAAGTCTATACTTTAAAGATGAAATAAAGCGATTCCTATAAAATAAAATTTTATAATTGTTATTAACAATTCTTTTAAACAATTGCGAATTGAAGAATGTTCTCAATGTTTTTAAAAGATTAAATTACCATGTATTGATGCGCAAAACTCCAAGGATTAATTTAAAAAAAAAGAAAAATCAGTAACCTCCAATAAAAAAATTTTGTAGATTTTTCTGCCAAAATGCAGGCGAAAATCGACTCGAGTTCCTGGAAAACGATAAAATTGCAAACTAATAAATAAGATCTTCTTTTGTTTTGTTAGAAACTTCACGCTTTCAAGCGGATTTTTAAAATTAAGAGTCAATTTTCGCCTGCATTTTGGCATAAAAATCTACACAATTTTTATAATATTAAAGGTTACTGATTTTTCCTACCGTGTACGGAACCCTATTATAACGGTTCCATTAAATGACCATGTACCCCCACCCCTAGCGCTCACAGTTTTTCACCTAGAAAGATGAAAATTGATATGCATATGTATTTTTACGCGTAGATTACAGGAAAAATATAGCGGAAGTGATTAGAATTGATCTTCATGGTGTTTTCATCGAAAAACTAAAATCTCTTTTTGAAAGCTCGAAAATTCTTTAACCCTTGCTGGTTCTCTCAGTTCTTAACCTAGTGGACTGGCGTTATACATTTTTATTTATTTTTTCGTGTAGATTACAGAAAAAATACAAAAAAATTATTGGAGTTCATCTTCATATTTTTTTTGCGAAAAACTAAAAAAATTTCGTTTTAGAAAAAAAGTGTGTACCCCCCCACCTTCGTTTTCGTAATTCTTGGCCTATTGGACTGCAGTTTTGCTTATTTTATGTATTTTTGTGCGTAGATTTTATAGGAAAAATATAGCATATATATAGTTTTTTTATCTGAAGAGATGAAAATTGGTTATTTATTTATCTTCACCTGCAGATTACAGAAAAAATTCAGCGAAAAATATTGCAGTTGATCTTTATATTTTTTCAAGCAAAAAAGTAGAAGTTTTAAACGAGGGTGCGGAACCTTCGGTTTTAGTCGGTACGAGTCTACTCGCACTTGTCCGGTTTTTAAATTAATCCTTGGAGTTTTGTGCATCAATAAATAATGGTAATTTAGTTTTTTAAAAACATTGAGAACATTATTGAATTTGCAATTGTTTAAAAGAATTGTTAGAATTGTTAGAATTTGTTAGAATTGTTGTTGTTTGTTGTTAATAACAATTATAAATTTTTATTTTTTAGCAATCGCTCTATTTCATCTTTAAAGTATAGAATTTAAGCTTTAATTTAAGAAAAAATTCACCTAATTATCTTTATTTGTTTCAAAGTAATAATAAAATGAAAATAAAATGACCCAAAACTTCAACAACTGATTACTTCAATAATAAATTTTTGTTTTGAAAAATATTGTAGGGGGAAAAAGTGCGTTACAGAACAATCCGTTTTTCCCAAACTTTTTTTCCCAATAACCAGTATTTCCAATTTTTTTTCCCCAAATATTTTTTCCCAAGACCCTTTTTCCCAAAGTATAATATGTAACATGGTAAGTTAAATGGGACCTTACGCCCAAAATCAAGTTTTTGAGAAAAACATTGTTAAAGTTATCAATTCGATATTCATGCTTCTGCACATTAAATTGGCTTGAAACCCAGTAAAAAAAATTCGATACACGGACCGCGGCATACGAGCTCGGTAGCTCGTATGAGAAATATGAGAAATCTCTCATACGAGCCTTTTCCGTAATGAGAAGTGTATAGATGCTTGTATACGAGGTGACTTTTAAAGCATTTTTATTAATGTAACACTATTTTAAAGTAAATGTAGATAATAGAAATGAATTTTCAAAGTAAAACAAAGCTAAATTCATAAGGGAAATGAAGTTTTAAGAAAAAAAGATAATTTTGTTTAAAACATTTATTCACACTGAAAAAAGGTTAGAATTTGATAATTCCTTGTTATTCTTACTTACCGACATTAGATATTTCTCGGATGCGGTAAGCACGATTTTGTATTGGCGGTACTTCCTTTACAAACATGTATTCATTTTCCAATTCTCTTTCGGTTTTGTTCGGTTAGCGATACTAGCAAACCTAACGTCAAAATTTCGAAATATTGAAATTATCGTCTGCCACGCGTCTGATGATCATCTGTCATGTCATCTGAAATATTATGCGACTTCACAAAATAGTGTTAACCCTTTCAGTCCCAGTGGTCGATATATCGACCACCTTTTAAGCCACCGATTTTTTTAACATAACTTAAAGGAAAACTTTAAATAATTGCATATTTCTTATTTTTATGTTTTTACAAACAGGGTTTAGTAGTTTTTTAAAAAATTAATCTAACTATATTATTTATGTTTTTTTGTTATTAACAAACTTATACACGGCAACGCATTATTTCAGTTTAAACTTAACTGTAATAAAATGAAATCAGTAACATATACTTTAAATTATGGTTGTTTTCTAAATTCTCGGGGTTTGCTGAATATTAATCCAAAATCAGATATGCAAATTCAAAATAGTAGATCTAATATGGCGGACAAAAATTAAAAAAATTTGCTTGAAAATGGTGTCTCGGGGGTTTTTGGGGTCGCTGATTACGAATCTAAAGTCAGTTTTTAAAAATTCAAAATAGTGGATCCATAAATCCATATGGCGGACATAAAAAGTTACGAAGTTGGAAACACCCTCTTCTTTTTTAATACGGGCTTGGGACCGGCAATGGCAGAGTTTCATCTCTTTTATTAATTTTGTTTATTTTTTTTTAATATTTTTATATTTGTCGTAACAAACGCAAAATGACGAAACATAAAAGACGAACGACAAAAAAACAGTACTTCTCTTCTATTTTTCATATTATATGAGGGTTCACGTGCAATAAGGGGATACG